TTCTGGGATTCAACAATTTTTTGAGAGGGTCTCAAGTACCTTTGTCTGTCCTTGAACAAAATATGGAGCTGAGGATGATCTTCATTTCCAAAGTGTTGAGCGGGATTAGAGGAATGAGCTACCTTGCTGGATTTAGAGGTTCATTGCTTATGTTTATGTCTTTGTTTTGAGACAGGGTCCCACTATGTAGCATTGGCTGGCCTGGAGCTCTCTATGTAGACCATGCTGGGGTTTTTTTGCGGGGGAGGTCTTTTTGAGACAGGGTCTCCCTGTAGCCCCACCTGTCCTGGATTCACTATGGAGACCAGGCTGGCCTCGAACTCACAGAGATTCTGCCTCCTGAGTGCTGGGATTAAAGGCATGCGCCACCACGCCCGGCCTGACCATGCTGGTTTTGAACTAAGATATCTGTGTCTTCCTTCTTACCGTTGGGATTAAAGGTGTGGGTCACTATCCCTGACCTAGAGGTTTAAGTTTTGACAAAGATTATATTAGAGGGTTCCACTCTGCCTCCTGTCCATCATGATGTAGAGAAGCTCCTCCCATGTGCTCCTGCCACCATAATGTCCTGCCCAAGCACATGGGCCTGAGGCACCATGAACAGAACTCTCTGAAACCATGAACCAAAGCGAAGCTTTCTTCCACTCTAATTTTTTTCTGTCAGATATTTGAGCACAGCAATGTAAGTGTCTGACTAAGTTGGGTCATTGGTTAAGAGCACTGGAGGCTCTTGTAGAGCACCAGAGTTCAGTTCCCAGCACCCACTGGTGGCTCATAACTGCCTGTTAACGCCAGTTCCCGGGGATATGATGGCCTTTTGTGGCCTCCTCAGGCACCAGACACACACAGGGTACACATGTATACATGCAGGTGAAACTCATACACATAACAAAATTTAAAAAAGGAGAGAAATAGTCCTTGGAGGAACTGAGTTCCTGTGGCAGCAGGATAAGAAAGAGATGAAGCAGACTGCTGGGGATGACTGTTCACTTTACTAAGACTGTTTTTCTCATCTAAGGAATTGTAGGCATCCCAAGGTCAGCTTTCTTTAGGGTTGTGGGACCAGGGAGATGACCTAGAAGATAAAAAGGGTTGCTGTGAAAACAAGAGGACCTGGATTCAAATCCCCAGCACCCATGTAAAATCCAGGCATGGCCACACATGCCTGTATCCCCAGCATCAGGGGATAGAGACAGGCAGATCATAAGGGCTCACTGGTCAGCCACCCTAACTGCAACAAATGAGCTTCAGGTTCAATGACAGACCCTGTCTCAAAAACTAAGGTGGAGCCAGGCGTGGTGGCACATGCCTTTAATTCCAGTGCTTGGGAGGCAGAGGCAGGCAGATTGCTGTGAGTTCAAGGCCAGCCTGGTCTACATAGCGAGTCCCAGGCCAGCTGGAGCTACAGGGAGACCCTGTCTCAAAAAAATCAAAAACAAAACAAAACCAACAACAAACAAACAAACCGAAAACTAAGGTGGAGAAGAGTGGGGTGTGGTGGTGCACATCTTTAATCACAGCACTCAGGAGGCAGAAGTAGGTGGATCTCTGAGTTCAAGGAGCCTGGTCTACACAAGAGAGTTCCAGGCCAGCCAGGGCTACACAGTGAGACATTGTCTCAAAAATAAATAAATAGGGAACTGGAGGGATGACTTAGTGGTTAAGAGGATTTACCATACGTAAGTTCTGTTCCTAGCACCCACATCAGGGTGCTCATGACTACCTGAAACTCTGGCTTCAGGGATCTGACTCCCTCTTCTGACCTCTGTTCACACCTGCACACAGGCCTCTTACATTCACACAGACCATACACATAAAAATGTAAAATAAATCTTTAAAAAATAAGACAGATGATAGAGGAAGGCATCTGCTCTCCTTCTCTGGCCTCTGCATGTGCACAAAGAGGTGCACACTCCAACATACAAAATAAATAATAAATATTTACTTGGGTTGCTTTGGATTTGTGGGTCTATTACAGAGATATCATGAGAGAAGGAAAGGCATATGTCAGAATGAGAAGGACTAAGGTGGACCACTGTGACCTCAGTATAAAAGGTCAGCTGCCCTCTTGCAGCGTCCACATCCCTATTGTAGACAGAAATCAGGCAGTTACCAGAGCCATGGCTTTAGCAACTAGGCACCATTGAATTTTCAGCCTATGGAGCTGGAAGAGGAAACAACTGAAGAAGAGAGGGAAATGACAGATGGAGGAATGAAAACACCCTTGTGAGGATTGTCACCGGTCATCTGCCACGCGGTCAGCAACTGCAGAATTTCAATCCTGTTATCAAGGCCCTATTGATCTATCTTTTGGGTTCATCTATTTTCCTTCCTCTTCCCTGGTCCTTCTGCTCAGTTCTCAAGTTCTTCTGAAAGTTCTTACAGAATTTTTTCTTTCTTCCTTCCTTTCTTTCTTTCTTTCTTTCTTTTCTTTCTTCTCTTTTTCTTTTCTTTTTTTTTTCTGGTGTTTTTGAGACAGGGTCTCCCTGTAGTCCCAGCTGGCCTGGAACTCACCATGTAGACCAGGCTGGCCTCGAACTCAGAGATCTGTCTGCTTCTGCCTCCCAAGTGCTAGGATTAAAGGTGTGTGCCACCATGCAGAACTTTCTTAATTCTTTGATTACAGGACAACTCATTTTGCAACAGTGTTGTTTTAGTGCTGGAGTGACTGTCAGGAACTTCACACTAGCAAAATGAATGAATGTGCTGCGGACACATAGGGAACACTACCACAAGGAAACGTGGGCCCACTGTTTTGCCAGGTCTTTCTATAATCTCAAGAAAAACTTAAAATTGTTTTATAGAGAAACGTCCGAAATGTCCTGATAAAATATGTGCATGTGTGGTGTGTATGCATGTGTGCATATGAGTGGTGTATATGCATGTCTGCATGCAGATCCCAGAGGTTGATGTTTGGTGTTTTCTTCTATCACTGACCACCCTATTTTTGAAGCAGGGTTCCTCTTACTGAACCTCAGTGTTGCTGTTTCAGCTAGACTGGCTGGTCAATAGACTAGGGGTCTCCTGGTCCTCCTATCTCTGTATCCTGTCCTATCTGTGTCATGTTCTCCCCATTCCCCGCCCTGCCACCCTCCCCAGCACTGGAGTTATAGGCATATGCTGCAGCACTCAGCTTTTATATATGGGTGCTGGGGATCCAAATTCAACTTTTCATGCATGCTCAGCAAGCACTTTGTCCACTGAATCATCTCCCCACCTTGAAATATTCTGGTTTTTAAAAGAGAGATCACTCAACTAAAATAAAATTGTTAAATCAGGTGTGGTGGTACATATCTGCTCTCCTGAGGCCAACTCCCAAAGTTGCCCTCTGATCTCCACACACATGCCATGGCACACTCATACCGACGTGTGCAATACACACACACACACACACACACACACACACACACAATAAAAGGGGGGGAAAACAACCCAAATCAGTCAATAAATCAATTGTCGCTGAAATGTTTAGGGTGACCTGTACTAATGTTTTGCAAATTTGAAATGGATCAAAAGATGCAGCGGTGGGTGGTGGAATGGATAGATGTAGTATAAAGCAGATACAGCAAAAATATCAGTTGTAGTTCTGTAGCTCCTAGGTGATGCATATGTGAATGTACACTGTGCAGTTTTCCTGCTATTCTTCCCTCCCTCCCTTGCTTTTAAAAAAGATTTTAAAATTTTTACTTTATTATTTACTTAGTTTTTTGAGACAGGATATCCCTGCAGCCCTAGCAGGCCTGAAATTTCCAGGCTTGCATGTGTGTAAATGCACCTGTGCTTGCAGTGCCCACGGAGGTTAGAAGAGGGCGTCGGATTCCCGGGAACTGGAGTTAAGGACAGGTGTTACCCACCATGTGGCTGCTGGGAACCGAACTCAGGTCCTCCCCAAGAAGAGTCCGTGCCCTTAACCGCTGAGCCGCGTCTCCGACCCCTGACCTTGAATTTCTTGTCCTCCAGCCTCTCAAGAGCTGGGATTACCGGAGTGTGCCACTTTGCACGCCGCTCATTTTCAGACAGCGAGGTTTCAATTCCGGTTCTGCCGCCACTGCAGGTTGTTAGGTTACGCTTCTTTTCCCTTGGCGCCTTTTTCAACCCTCGAACTGCATTTCCCATGAGCGCTTGCAAGCGTCGCCGTCGCGCGGCGCTGCGTCGTCGCTCCGCGTCCTTTATACCCACTTCCGCCCATGAACCACTTCCTTTTCTTTCGCGGCGCGGGGCGGCAAGATGGCGGTGCAGATTTCCAAGAAGAGGAAGGTGAGTGTCTGGGCCCGACCTGGATGCTCGCGTCGGCTTCTCGAGCTGCCGCCGCGAGAGCCGTGGCTCCGAGCCCCGGCTTGGGGAGCGGCTGTGGCCGTGGCGGGCCCGCGGGGCGCGGATGGCCGTGGATTGTGTGTTAGGCCAGTCCCGTGAGCGCAGTGTGGCTGGGGAGGGGAAGGACAGACTTCTCAGGGTGAGGATGGGGGCGAACACCGGCGCCCTCCCGTCCTGGATTGGACGCCTTGTGAGCATTCCGTGGCCGCAGGAGTAGTAAGCCTGTGGGCGACTTGAGCCATCGGGTCTTATTTTGGGGAGTGATGATAGCAGTGCCTTGTTCTCTTGTCCGAGGCAGTGCGGGGCAGGGGGAGGGGGGGCAGTTGAAAAGCTGCTCACTAGTGCATGCTCCATCCGGGTCCCTGGAGCGGGAGCGTCCCCGTGTTTAGCAGTTTTTGTCATTCCGTAGGGGCTAGAGGTGTGTGAAAATCAGTGTTAGCAATAGGTGCCTTGCCATCTGTGCATGTATAGATGATAAAGCTATTCAGCGAGGCCATTTAAAGTACATTTCCCAGGTAACAACCAAGACTATCTTGGGGATTCTTGTGACTTGTGTGTAGTAGTGTACACACGCTGTTCCTTAGACAAGTTACAACCAGAATGTCCCTGCAGCGCTGAGTGAACTGTGGATGAGCCTCTCCAAAACAGATACTTGTTTTGCATGTGTAAATACGAATTTCTAAGCCCTTCGATGAAGAGTTGATGACGAGTCTGACTTGGGGGTGTTATCTTTGTCCCCAAGAGCCTCCCTGTGCTACGTTCTGTGGCACAGTTGAAAGCACTGTGTTCAAAGAAACTTCCTAAAGATGACCTAGAGGCATTTGTCTGAGAAGGGTTGCTTTCCCGATGGAGCGCTGGTGGGCTATGTGTTTGTTTTACAAAGGGGTGTGTTGGCTAATAATGTACTCCAGTTGAGGGCAAAGTAAGCCTGTACCTGGGGTCTTAACTTTGAACTTGCTTTTTTGGTCAGTTTGTTGCTGATGGGATCTTCAAAGCTGAACTGAATGAGTTTCTCACCAGGGAGCTGGCTGAGGATGGCTACTCTGGAGTTGAAGTTCGAGTTACACCAACCAGGACAGAAATCATTATCTTAGCCACCAGGTAAAAAATAAGTTGACTGGCTGTCACCTGTAATTGTTGTGTATATGAAGGTAGTTCATGCTGGGGAAACTGAAAAAGAACTGGTGAATCTGACTTGGTCAGTGTAATTGCTTTTAAAGCAATTTAAATTTAATTTTAAAGCCTTTAAAGGCTGCCTTATGAAAAGATTTTATTCTCATTTAAAATTTGTACTTACTTTGTGGTAGATGATATGAGATATTGTGAGTGAATTGTAACTTTGCCCTCTGCAGGACACAGAATGTTCTTGGTGAGAAGGGTAGGCGGATTAGAGAATTGACTGCAGTAGTCCAGAAGAGGTTTGGCTTCCCTGAAGGCAGTGTAGAGGTGAGTTGTCCCACCTTATACCCAAGGTTATTTTGGATTGTGGATTTAGGCTGTGTACCATGTGGGTTGTAGGAGTGTTTCAGTACCTTAGCAATAGTACAGTGACATAAAGCTGTGCTGAAAAAGATGCTGGTGTGATGACTATTGGCTTTTAATTGAAAAGTGTTGAAATTAATGTGCCTTGTTTCCTTTAAAGCTTTATGCAGAAAAGGTGGCCACAAGAGGTCTGTGTGCCATTGCTCAGGCGGAGTCTCTACGTTACAAACTCCTGGGAGGGCTTGCTGTGCGGAGGTAAGTGTCTTGAGGCTCGGTGGTTATGCCCTTTTGTGGATCAGAATATGAAGTGCCTATTTTTGTTAGCAAATAGCTATTAGTGACCAAATCGTCTGGTCTTTATTGGTTATAACAATAAGGTAACCCGTGCCCCCTCTGTACTGGCTTATAAGACTAGTAAAGATGGGACTGGAGAGATGATGATGCAGTGGGTGGTTAAGAACACTTGTTCTGAGTTGGGCATGATGATGCATGCCTTTAATACCAGCACTTGGGAGTCAGAGGCAGGCAGATCTCTTGAGTTTGAGGCCAGCTGGAGCTACAGGGAGACCCTGTCTCAAAAAGACAAAACACTTATACTTCTAGAGGACTGGGTTTGATGCCCAGCACCCACTTGGCAGCTAGCGACCAACTGTAACTCCAGTTCTAGGTGATCTGACATACTTTTCTGGCCTCTAGGGCATTGCACGTGCATGGTGCACTTACATACATGCAGGCAAAACATACATACACATAAAATTTTTTGAAAAGACTAGTAAAGGACTCACTGTGGGTGGCTCATACCTTTTGATTTCAACACTTAGGAGGTTGAGCTAGAAAGATTGCTTAGAATTTCAGGCCACCTTGGCCTACAGGGTAAGACCACCACATTCCCAGGCCCCTCACTATAAAGTGCTATAATGGAGAAGTGTTTTAGGTACTTTGGCAGTGGAACAAAAGCAGAACCTTTCAGGGAAGGGACCAGTTCTCTGCCACTTTAGAAAGGACCTTTGCCAATAAGTAGGTTGTAAGGAAAAATTAGACTTGTTACTATAATGGTTATTTTAACATCTGAATATAAATCTTTAAATTGTCTGGGTGTGATAGTGCACACCCATAATCCCAGCACCTTGGGAGTGGAAGCAAAGTATTCATACATGTGTGAGTTTTAAAAATTATATTTTTTTAAAGACTGAGCTTTGCCAGCTGAGATTACTAGAGTAATTGGCATGGAGAGTAGACCTGGGCATGAGGGTGTCTAGTGAAGATGATGCTTATGTGTAGGCCAAAGTTGGGAAACACTTGGCTAGAAAATTACTGGGGTTTTTTGTGTGTTTTTCTTTTTTTTTTCTTTTTTTTTTTTTGAGACAGGGTCTCCCTGTAGTCCAGCTGTCCTAGAACTCACTATGTAGACCAGGCTGGCCTCTTGAATTCACAGAAATCCATCTGCCTCTGCCTCCCAAGTGCTGGGACTAAAGGTGTGTGCTACCATGTCCAGCTTGAAAATTACTGTTTCTTGAGCTAGGTTCCTCCCCACCCCACCATTAGAGTGAAGACCAGGTGTTTTGTTTTTAAGCTTTGTGGGACAGGCAGGTAGAGTGTCTCTTTGGTAATGGCAGATGAATTTCTTCCAAAGGGCCTGCTATGGTGTGCTGCGGTTCATTATGGAGAGTGGAGCCAAGGGCTGTGAGGTCGTGGTATCTGGGAAGCTCCGAGGACAGAGGGCTAAGTCCATGAAGTTTGTGGATGGCCTGATGATCCACAGTGGAGACCCTGTTAACTACTACGTCGACACAGCAGTGCGCCATGTGCTACTCAGACAAGGTGAGTAGTTGGTCCCCGTGTGCTGGGGATGGAGTCCAGGGGCTTGCATGAGTGCTCTGCCACTGAACTAAATCTTAACCCTGAGTAACTGGGACAGAGGGCACTAGCAGACAATTGTTACTTTCTACAGATACTTCAGGTTTGGGGAAATCCACCAAGGAAGTACTGGATGTTTGTGTCTTAGATTGGTTAGGTTGGTTGGTTGGTTGGTTGGTTGGTTAGCTAGCTGTGGGGACTGTATAAGAATTGATTGTTGAGATAGTCAAATCACTTGTTGTCTTTGTCTTAGCTATTTGTGCCCTTCGGTGATGACATGATGACGAATCTGAAGGGTCACGTCCTGCTCTTGGTCCCCCTCGGTGCCATGTTCTGTGGTGCTGTGTGCGGGTTCCTTTGGCAAAAGTGGCTTGTTCATTGATCGATTTAGAGGCATTTGTCTGAGAAGGGACCAGATCTAGTGGTGCTTTTGAGTAAGCAACTGCTCTCTTTGTTCTGTGTGGTGGGGGCTGATAAAACCTCAGCCTGTCCTAACTCTGGTGTCCTCTAGGTGTGCTGGGCATCAAAGTGAAGATCATGCTGCCCTGGGATCCAAGTGGTAAGATCGGCCCTAAAAAGCCCCTGCCTGACCACGTGAGCATCGTGGAACCTAAAGATGAGATCCTGCCCACCACGCCCATCTCGGAACAGAAGGGTGGGAAGCCAGAGCCGCCGGCCATGCCCCAGCCAGTGCCTACAGCATAACAGGTATGTGTGCATTGGCCTGAGTGGGAGCACGTAGTGAAATGAAGGTAAGATTTTCTTACCCTTCTGTTTTGTTTGGTTTCAGGGTCTCGGCAGCTGTATCTGGAGGCTGGATGATGCTCTGTAAAGACATTTAATAAAATCTTGCACAAAGACATAAGGCCTGACTGGATTGTCCAGTTTTCCTGTGGAGTATTCCTTATCCTCTCCGTTTAAGTGGAGGACCCAGGCAGACTAATCAGAGAAGTTTCTGGAGGGCACTTCGATGATTGTCCTATGGTTCAGGATTACAGGGTTAGAAGGATTTTTTGTGCTGGGGATTGAACTCAGACCCTTGTATATAGTAGGCACGTACCGCTGAGCTACAGCCCCAACAAGGAAAGTAATATGTACGATTTTTCCTGGTGTATAAGAAGTCTCTAGTGGGTCAGCAAGAAGGCTCAGTGGGTAAAAGTGCTTTCTGTAAAACCCTGTGTCGACGCATGCCCCCGTCCCCCAACAAGTAAAAATGGTAAGCAGCATACACATCCAGAAAGTAAATACAGTTGGCCTCTGTATTTTGCTGTCCTATGCCATTTCATGTCTCATTTACTTCTCAGCATTCTGGTGCCATTGAGCTTAAAGCTCAGATGTTGGCCTGTGCAATATAAAGCTGTCATTAGACTCCACATTCCATGTGCTGGAAACGAGAAATTCAGGAAGCAACATGCATATCCATATAATGTCTCGAAACATTTACTGCAGATGTGTGTTTGTGAGGAATTTAATGTTTTGAGGTAAAAAGCTTAGAAACTTCTGGCTAGTGAGAAGACCAGCTGGTGAAGCTGTCAAGGCCTGGGGCAGAGCCTGTGTGGTGCTAAGCCTAGGCCTTGTGGACTACCAAATAAGCCGTTTTATTTGGCTGTCTTTCACCTACATTGAGCTACATGAGGGCAGACTCAACAAAACACTCAACAAACACGTTGTGTTTGCTTTGTACAGGGTGAGGGCTTGAGTTGTGTTGGGAATGCACTGGCAAGAGTATCCATGTCCCGTTAACCATCTTAAAATAACCTATAGATAGTACAGTTGCAACGTTTTCTTTTTGAGACAGGCTACTATGTAGCCCTGGCTTACCTAAAATTATGTTGATCAGGCTGGCCTTGAACTCATATCTGCCTCTTGAGTGCCTGGACTAAAGGTTTGTACCACCTAGAACTCATGGATGGATAGATCAGACTACTTAGATCTGAATTCTCTAACCATTGGTATAATGTATTGATTGACTTAACTGCTCAGGCCTTTTTATTTTGCTGTTGAATATTTTTATAAAAAAAAAAACAACTTTCATTTCTCGGAGTTTTCCCTCTTGAGAACTCCAGGGATGAACCAACCCTTTCTCCACTCAGAAGATTTTTGGGGAGGGCAGAGTGGAGTTGCAAGCAGGCATTGTCATGCTACCTCAGTCTGCACATGGAAACTGGTTCTGCTTACCTACTGCAGGAACTGGAAACATTTCTCCACGTGGGTAAACTTGGGTTTCAGTTTTGCTAGAAGTGTTACTGTGTAGGGCTTTTTGTTTGTTAGTCCTGGAGACAGTCAAACACGGCCTTGTACATGCTATGCAACTGCTCCAACACAGCCACATCTTCAGCCCCAATGTTGGCTGATTTATCCTGGGTGTCTGAGTTTGACAGTTGAGATAGAATTATTCATAGTGAAACTAGTTTAGTTTGAGAATTCTCCAAGGCACTGGAAGTAAGACAGTTGTGATTTAGATCTCAGAATCCAGTACTGGTGCAAAGTTAGTTCCAGGCCTTTGTATACATTATATTAGATATTTTTAATTCTTAGTACTGAGTTTCTGCAAATTTTGGAAGTTGAGTGTGTGAGACAGTCTCTTTCCCAGTAGGTGGTGCCATAATATAGCAGGAAAGGAAGAGATAAATTGGTCAAACTGTGACTACAGAAAAACATTGAGATTATCACTGTGTGAATGAAGCCCCTCTCCCCTGAGCAGCCAATGCATCAGTGATAGGTAGGCAAAATACATGAAATCACCCTTGGAACCCCCATGAGAAGTAAAGTGCCTAAGCCTTTTGGGTCCAAGGTTGACTATGAACTTACTATCCTGTTTCTATCTTCCAGGTGCTAAAATTATAGGCATATATCATCATGCCGTTTATGTGAGGATGGAGATTGACTATGTTAGGCACCAAGCTCTTAATTATGTAACCCTGACTGGCCTAGAACTCACCTCTGCCTCAGAGTAAGGGAATTGAAGGGATGCCCCACCACATCTGGCCTTTCTTGGCTTTGGAAATGGTCTCATAAGACTTGGAATAACTAGCTAAGGCTGGATTTGGACTTAAGGAAGTCTTCCTATTTGACCTCCATAGTGCTGGGGTTAGAGATGAACCACCATACCTAGCTTGCCCGGCTTGCTGGAGAGATGGTTCAGAGGTTAAAAGCACTGGCTGCTTTTGTAGAGGACCCGGGTCCCAGCACCCACGCAGTGTGACTAACAACCATCTGTAACTCCAGTTCGAGGGGATCTGATTCCTTATGGTTTCTCCTGTTTTGCATGAATAGCAGTGCACTTAAACACATGCAGGTAAAGCACACGTTTTTAAAATTTATGGGGCTGGAGAGATGGCTCAGTGTTTAAGAGCACATAACTGCCCTTGCAGAGGACCCAACCAAGTTCAATTCCCAGCACCCACATTAGGCTACTCAGAACTGCCTATAACTCCAGGGAATCCAATGCCTTTGACCTCTGGGTAGCTGCACTGACATTAAATCTATTTTTTAAAAATAGGAGACTAGGTCACATGTAGTTCAGGTTGGCCTTGAACTTGCTAGTAGCTGAGGATGATCTTGAACTTGTAATCTTCCACCTTTCAAGTACTTGGACCATCTGTAGATGTACTACCATTCTTAGTTACTGTAAATAATGATCAATGTATAATTTGTATGTTTTGTGGTAGTGAATGTATTCATGGTATTTTTCTTTTTGAAAATCTAGCCTGCACAGTACATCTGTAGATTTACAAATTATGGTTAGATAATCCAAATGTGAGAGTTGTGCAGTCTGACCTTTTTGGGTGGGCAGCTGTGCTTCAGCACATCTCTGTAGGTGTAACGAATAGCTTCATGACGTGAATTTTCACCATCTGCATGGTCAGGGTTCTTTCTCACCATGAGGATTGTGCTTTAGCTTCTAGGAGGCAGAGGACTGAGCAGGTATCAATAGCTCCACTTAATAGGATTTGGCTGTTCATGCCTTGTTCTAGGTCCATGTGGGGTTGGGCTATTCTGAATGCTGCTGTGTATTTTGAAGTGGGAACTGCCATCATCTGAGCAGAAAAACACATTCAGCTATCACTGAGTGGACATTCTCAAACTCCTAGATTGTTTTCCATATTTTCTTCCTTAGGGCTGTTAGATTTTGACACACTCTATCAAATAATTATCTTTGTTATTAATCAAATCTCTATAACATACACAGCATGTCTGAGGTAAGGAGACCATTATTGCATGGTTGGAACTACTATAATCTTCCATATATCCCTGTAATGGATAGATTCTGTTACCATTTGACAGCAGGTTTAATCTTTGCAGTATATCTAAGGGAATGTGTTTCTCTGGGTTTTGGTAAGTGTTTGGAATATCCAGGATCATTTCTAGTTTGAAAGTTAACACCAGACCCTAGATTGGGAATGGCTTACCTGCTCAGAAGTCCCCATCTTTACAGGTAAAACAGTACAGCCCCACTAGCTCTGGAATGAAAATGAGTGCACACCTCTGCTGTCCGGTCAGCTTAACCTGGCCAGGTGCAGCCAGGCTATTGTCTGCTGAACAGGGAGTGCTGCTGCAATGGACTCTTCCTGCCCTCCAGTGGTACTGTCTACTAGCTCACCCTTTGTGGTAAGCAAAGTCTGGCTGTATGGCCCAGGCTGGCCTTCAACTCAGCCTTCTGCCTCTGCCTCCTGATATAGGCTATTGTGCCATGTCCAGGTGAGATAGTGTTTTGTTTTTAAATTATTTGTTTTTATTTTGTATGAGTGTATTGCTTGCACGTGTTAGTGCACCTGTGTTGTACAGTGCCCTTGGAGGACAAGACGGCGCCAGATTCTCTGGAACTGGAGTTTTAGATGGTTGTTAGCCGTCATGTGGGTTCTGGGATTCAAACCTGGGTCTTCTGCAAGAACAGCCAGTGCTCTTAACTGCTGAGCCATCTCTCCAGCCCCAAGATAGTTTTTGTTTTTGTTTTTTGAGGCAGGATCTCCCTAGTCCAGGCTGACCTGGAACTCTAATATAACTCAGGACTGATGTATATATGCCCAAAGTAAATGTCCCTCAGATGCAATGCAGTGCTCATCAGTCACCATGCATAGTTCTTTTTTTTGGTCTTTTTAAGACAGGCTCTCTGTACCCCCAGTAACTCACTTTGTAGGCCAGGCTGGCCTTGAACTCAGAGATCCACCTGCTTCTGCCTCCTGAGTGCTGGGATTAAAAATGTGCCACCACACCTGGTATGCATGGTTCTTTTAAGTGCAGATTCTGGATTTCAAATCCGTCTCTAATATGCTCTAGCTAATTACTGCTGTTTTACTTTGGTTTTATACTGTTAAGAATACTTGAAAATTTTGTTGAGAAGACAGTCATTTACTCTGAAACACTTTCATTTTCAGGTTTGTAAACATCAATTGTGATGACTGATCATGCCTTTAAATTTTCTAGGGCTGGGCTGGAGAGATGGCTTAGAGGTTAAGAGCACTGACTGCTCTTGCAGAGGACCTGGGTTCGATTCCCAGCACCCACATGGTGGCTACAAACCGTCCTTAACTCTTCTGACTTCCATGGCACTGCATGACACAGGTGCACTCACATACATGCAGCCAGTACACTCATACACATAAAAAGAATATTAAAAAAAAAATTCTAGGGCTAGGGATCCACCTATGTGGTAAGAGCACTTACCTGGCATGCACAAAGCCTGGGTTCAATCTCCAGCACAAAAGATTCTCTAGCATCTTAATACCCTCCATTTGCCCTTTTCACAACTGCTGTGTATGTGTACAGATAGATGTGTGCCATGGTTCATGTGTGAACTTGTGGGAGTCAATTCTCTCCACCAGGTGGGTCCTGGAGATCATTAGGGTTAGCAAGATGAACCTTTACCCACCAAACCATCTAACTGGCCCTAATAAACAGTTCACTTACAAAATACTGAGTTTGAGACTGGATCTAAGTAAGATTTTGCTGTGTGACTAATGTCACCACCATCCCTAGAGACTCAGGGGCAGCTGTGTGTCTGCATTCATCTTATCAGTCTGATGAAAGTGAAACAGTCAGTTTTGTTCTGTCATGATGGGTGGAAAGAGACCTGGTGTTTCCAGACTTGTGAAGGATTGTACAATGCTTTGGGAAATGCAGTAAGAAATGGTGTAAGTGATTGCTTATGAACCATTGCATCCTCAAGGCAATACCATTCACATTTAGTGTCCATTTTTCCTGTGTGCCCAGGCAAATGCAGCAATGGGGGTCACTGGCCTGTGGGAGACATCTAGTCAGGGGGGGCAGCCCATATCCTTTAGAAGAGCTTGCCCTGGATGGCCCCTATTCCTGGGTAGGCAAGTGAGATGGGGTCATTGCTTTGTCCTTAGTGTTGCCCTTAGGGTGGGGACTGGCAGGTTTATTGGGCCTGGCCTCACCCTTCCAGGCTGCTGCCATTATCAGCTGTGTCCAGATGGCCACAGACTCCCTAATCTGTGGTAATCGGTGGGTCAGAGCCCATCTGGGACCAGGGCCTTTGTACCCAGCTATAATGAGTCTGCCCCAGCTGGGGAGACCCTGCAGACATAGCCCTGGGGCTTTGAAGATGGGGAGGGGTGCTGGCTGGTCCTATGCTAAAATTTGAAACAGACAAGCTCCTCTACAGAGTGCAAATGGGGGTCTGCAGATGGGCCTGGCCAGTGCTTCCTGCCTCAAGAGCCACAGCCCTTGACAGCTCAGACTCTGTCTGGTCTATGTTTTGATCCCTTTCTCTCCAGTAGTTTTGTTACTGGCCTGAAGTCCCAGGCCATGCCAAGTGGTTATAGTGGCATTAGGGGATTGTGTTTCACATTGATGATGTTAAGGATCTAGGGAGTCCAGTTACATCCTGACCTATGGTTCTGGTGCCTTCCACCCTTAATAAACATAGATGATTTTTAAATGCCCACAGTGCTGGGTGTGGCAGTGCACACCTTTAACTCCAGCACTCAGGAGGCAGGAGCAGGTCATCTCTGAGCTCAAGGCCAGTCTGGAATACATAATGAGTTCCAGGCTAGTTAGGGCTGTAAGAGTCTAAACCAAACCAAAACAAAGCCCAGTAATGAAAAAGAGGTAATAAGTGTGCCATGGGCTGAATGTGAGTATGCCTCCAAAATCCCCATGTTGAAATCTAATGCCTAATGTGGAGTATAAGAAATGGGGCCTGTGGCAGCTAATGAGTAAAGCACTTGCTGTGCAGGTCTGAATGCAATCCCCAGAACCCATGTAAAGGTGGAAGGAGAGAAAGGACTCTGCAGAATCCTCTGACCTCTACATGTGTGTCATGGCATGCACACCCACACATACATATCATACACAGGCACATAAAATTTAAAAAGAAATGGGGCCTTGGGTGTGGGTTAAATTAGGGAGCTCTTTTTTGCCCACTTCTGCCATGTGAGAATAATGCAAGGAAAATGCCATTTAGAAAGCAGAGCCCTCACCACAGCAATCTGCTGGTCCCTTGTTCTTGGAGGCCCTAATCTCCAGAAATGAACAGTTCATTTCTGATACTCATGTAGCCTACAGTGGGACAGGAGTGCTTGTAAACAGTGAAGCAAGAGATGCTGGAGATGACTTTGTGCAAAGCAGGCTGGAGCTGGAACACAGACCCAACTTTTGAAAAAGAGTTTATTTCTGTAAGAAAAGGAACAATAAGTTAAGGGGCTATTCACATGGAGATGCCAAGAGGTGGGGCAAATGCTGTGCTTGAGTTCTCTTGGCTCAGGCTGTCCCAGTCTGAGTCACCTCAAACTCTGGATGATGGTGACACAGCCATGGGAGCTGGTGCAACGCTGTAGGGATGGCTGGGTCTCCACCTGCCCACTGCTAGGGTCAAAGGTGAAGACACTATTGATGCTTTCTCCATGATCATCCCGCCCGCCAAGGATGTAGACCTTCCCGTCACACGCTGTCACACCACAGCTCTCCTAAGTGGACAAAGACAGTTAACTATGGGGTACAGCCAAGGACTCCCTTGGTGCCTAGCTGGTCAAGCCACATAACATAACCATGCCCTGCAGACTGACCAGGAGGTCTGGATGGTAAGGAGACAGGAAACTGAATGAACCCCAACTCTTACTAAATGAATGGCCTAGACCATCAACTGCTGGGTTTTCTGTATCTCTTCATAAGTCACTGTACATAGCACCTAGCAGATCTTTCACTTGGTTTGAAAGATGGTAAGCATACTAACTAATACCATCTTTTTTTTTCCCCTTGAGACAGGGTTTCCCTGTAGCCCCAGCTGACCTTGAACTCATAGAGTTCTGCCTATCTTTGCTTCTGAGTGTTGGGATTAAAGGCCTGTACCACCATGCCTGGTTAGTAACAGTCTCACTGAGAGAAGCCAGAAACCTCAGCCTTTTTGGATCACTCAAGGCCAGAACTGATGGGGACAACCAGTCCAGTTACACCTCTACATAGTTTCTTCGTAGTCTCGGGGGAGAGGGACAGCAGGTGTGGGGAGGCAAGGAGCTGTGGGGTCCAGAGCTTCCAGAACATGAACCTCTGGCCACTGGTATTACTGGGACAAGGAACTTAGCATGTGCCCACCTCCTGCTAGTTGGTACTTTTGGGGTGGGAAAAACTGCAGGGTCAGTTGAGGGTCCAACCCTCAACTCAGAGCAGTTGGCATTCTAGGTAGTCTTGGGCCAACCTCACTAAGACCAGTCTCACCTGTGAATGGGAGGTTAACTGTCACTGGGAGGACAAGCTAAGGAACTGTGTGAAGCCACTTAGCATGGAGTCATGTACCTTCAACCTCCAAGTCCCAGAGTCTTGGAAGTGGGTCTATACTCCTGAATGGGCCAGTGCAGGGACCTACCAGGGAGCCTTCACTTACCACAGGGGTGGGCAGGTCAGCTGCCTCTCCCCAGATGTCTGTGCCAGGATCATAGGTAAAGATTTTGCTCATGAGGCCCCCCACTACATAGATGGTGTCTTCCAGAGAGACAGCCTCAAGACACCGCTGTGAGAAGGGCGCTGGTGACCGCAGGCTCCACTGGTCCTCCTTGGGGTCAAAGCACTGCACCTGAGGGTTGGAAGACGGTGATGATAAGAGTCTCACCTCCCAGAATTGACCCCACCACCCACATCCTCTCACCTCTCTCTAGGAGCACTTGGTACATTCTCACCAATGTCCACCAGGCCTTAAGCTAGTACCCAGGACATGGTAGATCCAGAGTCCCTGCATCACATGCTCATACCAATTCTATGTTCTATCTCCAGCCCCTGGATACTCTGTCAGAAAGCTACTTCATAATTCAAGACCCAGCTTAAAGGCCACTTCACCCTCAAATCCTCCTTCAACATGGAGACAGTCTCCTTTGGTGGAAGAGAACACAGTTGCCTGAGAGGATTAATTATCTGGGCTCATGATATGAGCAGGGAGAAGTATGTGTCTGGGGAGATGGAGGGACTGTTTGCAGGTCCCCAGTGGAGATGTGTTCCTTTTCTCCTTTCCTGGTGTTTCTGGCCTCAGGACTTAATAGCTACCGCAAGAGCAGCCTGTTTGCTGCAGTTGTCCTGACCCCTTTCTGGGGTGCATACTAGTCCCTGGCTGCCTGCTCACCTTCAGATTTATTTTTATTTTATGTGTATGGGTGTTTTGTCTGTCTGCACGTAAGTGCATTGCCAATGGAGGCCAGAAGAGGGTGTTGGATTTCCTGGAACTAGAGATGGTTGTTAGCTGCCATGTGGGTGCTGGGATCTAAGGGTAGCCACTCCTCTTAACTGCTGAGTCACCTCTCCAGGCCCTGCCTGCTTTCACCCCATTTCCTCAGTTGTTTCCTGGGAGACCCCAAGAACAGTTCGTAGCAAGTCAGTGCTGCACTGGACAGTTGCAAAATGGCCCTCCTGCTGCTGCCCCACCCAGCTCCAGGAAAGTTAGCTGGAGGAATGGGGTCAGGGCATCAGGAGGGGTAGAGGAGTTTATCTGGGGAGATGTGGGTCTGTGAGGCCATCAGGGAATGGAAAAGAGCTGCCATGATGATGAACTTTTATTCAGAAAATCCATACAACATGACTGGCGTACCACTGCACAACCACCCCGGAATATGAGGGCAAAACTCATGGCTGTGGAGTTCTAAGCATGTGGGAAGTGTGCATACTTAAATAAGAGCAGGAAGCAGATATATAACTTTACAGTAAGAAAATGAAACTAAGTCAGATATAGTGGCACACGCCTTTAATCCTAACACTCGGGAGGCAGAGGCAGGCAGAGCTCTGTGGTTCAAGGCCAGCCTGGTCTACATAGTGAGTTCCAAAACAGCTGGGGCTACAGGGCAAGTCGATTCAGTGGAGGCCCAGAAATGTTTCTAGTAGTTAACTCTAGGTGGGGAACTATGGGTTGCTTATTTCAAAAATTTCAGTTATCTCCTCAGGAGCTGGAGAGAGCTCAGCAGTTAGTAGCACTGACTGCTCTTGCAGAAGACCTGGGTTCAATTCCCAGCACACACATGGCAGCTGACAACCATCTGTAACTACAGCTCCAGGGGATCTGACTTCCTCTTCTGACTTCTGAGGGCACTACACGACAAGAGTGCATCTACCTACATGCAGGCAGTGCTATCTCCCAAAAGCGGGGAAAAACAAAAAATTAAAAAAAAAAAAAAAAAAAAAGGCAAAAAACAATCTCCCTCTTCCCTTCTGACAAGTTTCATGGAGCCTAAGCTGGCCTCAACCTCCCCATGTAGCCAAAGATGACCTTGAACTCCTGATCTCCTGCTTCACCTCCAGAGTGCAGATTACAGGTTTGCACCACCCTGCCTGGTTTATGCAGTACTGGGGATCCAGCCCAGGGCTTCCTGCATGCTAGGCAAGCACTCTACCAACCTAGCTACATCCCCAGCCATTAACATTTTTTGAGTGGAAAAAAAGCATTTTAACTAATCCTACGTCTGTCTTCATTTAATTTTTTAAAATCTGAAACCCACATGGTTGGTACCAACCTGAGGAGTTTAGGTGTTCTGCTGACCTACTGACTGCCTTTGGGATCCTTTCTCTGGACTCATTTCCTTGCTCAAAATTTGGCGATGCCTACCAGGCTGCTGACCAGATCTAGCAGGCACACAGTAGGTGCTGTTGCAGCCGCCAATATCACCTAACCCCAGGCATGTGCACACCTTGTCCGTGTTGGCACCATCCTGCCCAGCGCCCCCAATCACGTAGAGGTGGCCGGCACAGGGTGCCACCGCTGCAGAGCTCACCGCCTCGGGCAGGGGCGCCACAGCCGCCCAGGTGTTGGAAAATGGGTCGTAGCGTTCCACGCTGTGCAGGCGCTGCAGACCATCGAAGCCACCCACGGTGAACAGCTGTGGGAAAGGACACCCACCCGGGGTTGGGGGTAAGACTGAGCCAACGAGGGGCGTCCCAGGGTTGCGACCACCTGGCCAAGTGCGTATCTAATTCCTGAAATCACAAATTCTTGGACCACCCTAAGCTATGTTGTCTGTCTGTTCCACCACACTACGGGAAAATGAGGCAGGTTTCTAGGATGGCTCCTGAATGATTCTACCTTCAGACGATGCTTAGTAATACTAAGGGTTTGCCATCTGCCTAACCTATTCCAAGAAGTACTTTCCTGTATGTTTCTGAATACGGACTGGAGCTTATAAAGATAACTAGAATTTTTGTTAGGTGGCAGTCAGGAGTCATACTTGGACTGTTGGTCCCACAGCCCACACCTTTCACCACTAAACTCTATTCTTACAGTGGTGACTATTTATTGGGGGCAGGGCAGGGTTAAGACAGTCTTGCTATGTAGCCCAGGCTGGCCTTAAACTCGTGATCCTCCTGCCTCAATCTTCCAAGTGCTGAGATTACAGGAGTAAGCCAGTATGCCCAGCTACAGTGATGGCTGTTAACAGTCACATTATTACATGACCCTGGGCAAGTCCTTTTGGGGGGCCTCCAAACCCTCCTTCCCCCAGAACATCTGTTCACTGGGTCCCAGAACAGCAGCCACAGTGTGTGCCTACCTGCCCCTGCAGGGCTGCCATCTTGTGCCTCCATCTGCCCTTGTGCATCGAAGCAACCTTGATCCAGGTGTGCAGATGGGAGCTAAACATCCACACATCACGGCTGTTGATATGGCCTCCTAGGGAGAGAGACATAGCTGGCCCCTGGCCTTCTTGCTACCCCTAGCCCCAACGAGCCAGAAACACAGGCCCCTAGATTCAAAGACAGGGTTAAGGGCAGACAGTAGGAAGGACTTCCCCTGGGCTGGTGTAAGACTCTATGCCTATGACCTGTGTTTTAAATGAAAGAAGACAGGGTCTAGGGCTGAAATTCTTAAGGGGCAGGCCTAACAGATCCAGGAAGAAGGGGCTGATCTTCACCAGGCGCCTTGTGGTGGGATGTCAACTGTGTTTGGGAAGCTAGAGTGGGGGTCCCCAAGGGAAAGCAGAGTCCCTGCACAGGGGTGGAACAGTGGGTGACCCAGTCACTTTTCCTGACGTTTTGCCTCTCCTTCATTTCCATCCTCATCCCTGCTTGAAGTGTCCGGATTATTGTCTCCATATAGGAAACAAGGATGAAGTTTAGGAGCCAGGAATTACCTGCTGAAGACCAAATGGTCTTTTGTCAGAGCCAACACCAAAGTCAGAGCTTAGGGCCTTCAGGCCCCAACCAAGCCCAGTATCAATTCAGACTCCTCACCCATGCCTGGCTTTACTGGCCCATAAGCCATTTCAGCCAACAACTGTGGGAAACCAGTTCCCACCTCCATCTCCTGATGAGGTAAAAATAAAGGGGGTTGCATGGGGGAGGCAGAGAGCCAATCTACACACTATAGGATTCCTACAACAATTCACCCCTCACCCGAAACGTAGATGTCATTTCGAAGCACACAGGTGGCAAACTCTGAGCGGGTGTAGCCAGGCAGGCTGGGCAGTGGGGTCCAACGCTGGCTCTCTGGGTGGTAAGCATCAGCAAAAGGCAGCTTCAGGAGCCCCTTGCGGTCACAGCCGCCAATGACCACGATCACTTCAGCAAGGTCCATGAATCTGGCGTGGGGATAAACCCAATACCTGTTGACCCACACCCAAGTTGCCGACCTTTCTCGCCCCCTTTTTAAAAATGGTGCTGGGATCCCAAATCGCCCCAGTTGGGACCTGCAGAGAAAGCACTCAGAATGACAGGGAATACATTGGAATGCTTTGCCTCGCTCATTAAGGCACGACTCTCCAAGAAACATTACACTTCAATAAAGAAGGGAAGGAACCAATGGTGAGGACCACTCGGACCTAGTAGCAGTCGGGAGGCAAGCGGGCGGCTGTACCTCCGCGGCCGGGCCCGCAGCGCGCCGGCTTCCCGGCCCAGGATGAAGCAGGCGCGGGCCTCAAGCAGCAGCGGGCGGCAGTCCCCGCAGGCCTGCAGCAGCTCGTCGGACTCCACCTTCTGCAGGAAGTAGGCGGGCGCCAGCAGCGGCAGACGCACGTGCTCCAGCAGCCGCCGCAGCTGCCCGCGGCGGGCCGGCGCGTCGTGGCGCACCCAGCGCATAACCGCCTCGAACACCGGCTCCTCGCGCGCCACGCCCAGCGCAGGGTCCGCCAGCAGCGCCACCACCTCGTCGGGCGCGAGCTCCAGGAAGTCGGCGTGGCGCGCCACCTCGGCGAAGGCCTGGCGCAGCACGTGGCCGCAGCGCTCGGCCAGCGGGAACAGCGAGAAGGTAGCGGCCACGCGGCGCAGCGCCAGGCTGTTGGCCACGCGCAGGCGACCCTCCAGGAAGCGCGCGCATGCGCCGCGTAGCCCCGCCACGCCCAGCCGCTCAGCCAGCGCCAGCACCGCGGCCGCCTCGTCCTCCGCGCGCAGCCGTACCCCCGCGCCGTACACGTAGTCGAGCACCACGGCCAGCGCCGCTGCCGCCCCGGGTGTGTCAGGACCCACGGGGACCACAGCCGGGATACGCTCCGCACGGCCGGCCGTGAACAGGCCGCGGAAGTGGACGCTGGCTGCGCTGAGCGCCGCTCGGTGACAGGGAAAGTCGCGGCCGCCGGCGCGCAGCACCACGTCGGTGAGGGTGCCGCTCCGCCGGTACGCGTTGAGCGTCTGCAGCACGCGCTGCGCGTGGCATGCCGCGGCGCACGGAGCCTCGCAGACCGGCTCCGACTCGTCGGGCCCTGCGGCCTCCCGCATCCTGCGCAGAGAGAACACAGAGAGCGTCGGGCTTCCGCCTGGCCGGGCATCCTCCTGGCTCCTGCGCGCGCGTCTGTTTAAGCCCTTCCATCAGCATGCCGGTGCCAGCCGAACGGACATACTTAGGTTCATCTGTTACAAGTTCCTTCCCTCCGCCTCACCTAGAAGACTACTGATGGCGATGATCCAGACCACCGTCTGTGCACGAGCTTCCCGTCCAGTACCTACTTCAGCCATATTGCTCTTACCTGTTCTGACTTCACTAAGCTTTTTCTTATCAGGCTCAAAAAGGGTAATTTGAGGAGAGTTCCCCAAAAGGAACGATTAATACAAGTCTAGACTATAAAGTATTGAGGTACTCCAGTTAGGATACTGTCACGTAGCTATCGACAATAGGGAGCATTTACCCCCAAATTCTGAAAGAGGACTGCAGGAAAGTTGCTGGACAATTCACTGTATAGGGAGGCTCCCATTGTATAAGCTGTATAGTCTTTGGTTAAAAGATTCAGGCTCCCCAGACCTCAGTGTGCTACCCCTGTGTGTGTGTGTGTGTACTGTACAGTCTCTTTACCTCCCCGTCCTCACCCTGTCTCCTTCAGATCTCCTACAGTTACTTTACCTTGACCAAACTCTGTTCTACTTAATATTTGCCCACCCTCCGTGGCACAGCGTCATTATTATCCTAGGTGCTCACTACTTGTTCAAGGTCAAGTGCATGCATTAATTAAACAGTGTCTCTATAGTCTTTTCTGTGCCAGGCAGATAGCAAGACAGTCATAAACCCCACCTTCCCAGAGCTCAGAGTGTGGGCAGGTGTCCTTTGGGAGAAGGGAGAATTAGGGGAGCTCACAGAGGGATGATAAACCCAGTTGGAGGACAGTCAGGGAATGGATTGCTAAAGGAGGACTTTTAAAATGAGTAAGGGGGCTGGAGAGATGGCTCAGTGGTTAAGCGCATCCGCATCTCAACTAACAAACATCCCTAACACAGTTCTGACGCCCTCTTCTGTCTTCCGTGGGCATTGCACAACATGGGTTGTGCAGGCAATACGTGCAGGCAATACACTCATAAAAAGTTAATAAATATTTTTTAATGAAGAGTAGGATTGGCCCAGTGAAGGCAAGGGAGTGGGGAGATGTTTCTAGTTTCCAGTGGAAATAACTAAGCCTCTAGGGACCAGCTGGGATTCTAATTATCCTCTAGTCTGGAGTGACTTGACCTGAGCAAGCTCCCCCACCCCCACCATCTCCTCTGAAACAGCCATAACGCCTAACCACAGAATTTTAACCGTGACTATTGGGTGGGGTATGTGAAACTGCTAGGTTCATAGTACCTCCATTAATGTTTCTGCACCTTTTTATTCACACAAAGCAGAGCAGAGGGTGTGCATAATTTGATGCTCACAACCCTGAGAAGCCTTTAGTCACGCAGCTCCCTTTTAAAGTTTGTCATAAGGAATCAGGCACACCGAGGAGGTCTGTCTGTCAGAGGTTTGCTGTGTTTCAGAGCAGGAGCATTCCACAGACTGCAGTCTGTTTGCCCTGGGTAGGATTTGGTTCTTGAAAGCACACAGCCAGTGCTTGAATGCCTCCATGGGAGGGATGTGATGGGGAGCACTCTGTGTGGCAACTTCAAGGCTCAACGCTGCTCCTGCCCCTTGCTCTCTCCGTTCTCCCATCTCAACTATTCTGTGCCTTTTGGGGCAGATCGTCGCAGGCATTAGCCTGGCTTTCACCTCACATTTGGACCAAGGGGGCAGTGACTCTCTGGCCTCCCCATCATGAGAAATGAGCTCCAGGTGGGTAAGGTCTGCTGTTGCTCAAGTAGAGAGGACTGGCCTGACCCCACCATGCACTGGCCTGAATGTCTACCCATAATCCCGGACTTGCAAGGGAGGGGAGCATGTACTCAAGATTAACAATCAAGGATCCTCACAGGGAAGTGAGGCAGCCTGTCTATTCTCTGCTACCCAGGACACAGCTACATTCTAGGCTGAGACCCACGAACCAGGTCTTAGCATAAGAGGTTCTCTCTCCCAGTTAAGGTGTCCCAAGGCAACAGGCTTTTTTTAGAAGAGGGAGAGAATCTCCTGGGAACTTCGCTAGTAATTTATTCTACTGCCACCTAGGACTCTATGCATCTGTGGGCATAATGTGATGGGAGACTCAGTTTCCACTGTGAGGATCCCCAGTCTGGGGGCCCAAGGATATGTGGGAAGGTAGGGATTCCCACCTGGCGCTCCATCAGCATTCTTTGATCTCACAGAGTCTAAGTACCTCAATCCAAGGCTCACGCTCAGACTGAGACTCAGCCAGTGCAAGTTGGCTCAGCACGCCACCATTCCTCTGTTTTTCACACAGCACATGCTCACACTTCTGAAGAACAGCCCACAGCAAGGCAGCCCTGCAGTCAGGCACCGTAAGCCCTGCCCCCAGGTACCTGGCGCTTACCTGGCCACGCCCTCTCCTAGGGACTTAGCTTCTGCTGCTCAGGCTGGGACCACTCCTGTCAGTCTGAGCCTGCCGCCTGCACACCAAGCGGCCTAGGCTTCTGACGTCCCTCCCTCCCGATTTGCCTGCACACCCACTTGGGCTCAGCTGCTGAGGGAGGACAAAGAGGCTGGACGCCAGGTGGGGGAGGGGAGGAGAGGGATGGGCATTGGGCTTTTGTTCCACTTTTGGAACAGCCTTGGGAGGGAGGGAAGAGATTACACATGGGATTGACTGTGTGTGCAACTCTAGGATCTGGTGTTTCTGGGACTGGTCAGGGGGTGACCTGATGCTGGCTTTGTTCCTGAATGATGCAGAGGGGTGTGCTTCAGGTAGATGGAGTAGTTGTCGGCATGTAAGTGTTCCAAGACCTATGTGTGTGTGAGTGTATTGAACACAGTGACTGTGTAGCACTGGGGTGTAGGGGATATGTGGATATGTATCTTGTGGCTGCAGACATGCTATGACTATGGATCAAGGTCACCCTCCTGCCTCTGTGTGACTGCCATGTCTGTGAACCTGCCTCAGAGCACACCTGTCATTGCGGGACTTTGCATAACCCTGTTTCTTTGCATCTGTGATTGTGTGTGGGGGGGGGAGAGAAACAGGTGTATACCCATAGATCACATCTGTGTGGACGGGGACTCTGTGGTGTGCATATTATGTGTGTGTGGTTCTGTGGTGTATGAGTGAAGGAGTGTGGGCCCCTTGGAGAAGGCACAGTAGGGAAGGATATGTTGGTTCTAGGCAGACTGAAGTGGATGGAGGAGAGAACAGGACAGCTGGCCTGGCTTCCTGGAGTCAGGAAGTAGATTTGGAGGTTGGTAATCATTTGCCACTTCTGTGAAGGGCTGCAGGTCCTGGATGCATGGGGCAGAACTTGCTGTCACAGAAGAACGCAGCAATTGAGGGCGAGGATTGCCTTGACAAGAGTCCATCCTGATGTAATACTGCTGTGAAGCACTCACATCACTGCCTGCCCCTTGGCCTGGCTCTTCTCATCAGCAGGAGGGTAATGGTGACTCCTTCTCTGCCCTACGTGTGGAGTTGCCTCACTCTGTGTATGGCAGCCCGAGCCTGGCAGACTCAGGTAGGCCTTGAGCTTGTGGAGGAGCCTGGATAGGTGTTGGTATGAGTAGGAAGTATCCCCCAAAGGCTTCATGTTGGGTTGGTGAGATGGCTCCGCACGTAAAGGAAGCGACTTGAGTTCAATTTCTGACACCTACATTGTGGAAGGTGAGAACCAACTCCTGCAAGTTGTCCTCTCACCTTGACACACATGCTGTGGCACACACATGCCCACACACGTGCACACACACAAAATAAAATACAGTAAAACAAAATTTAATAAGGTTCCATGTGTTAAGAGACTTGATCCCTAGGCTGGTGGTACTATTGAAAAGTGATTAGAGGGGCTGGAGAGATGCCTCAGCGGTTAAGAGCACTGGTTGCTCTTTGCAGAGGACCTGGGTTCAGTTCCCAGCACCCACAAGGCAGCTAACAACCTTCCATAGCTCCAGTTCTATCTGATCCAACACCCTCTTTTATCCTCTGTGGGCATTTGCACAGCACAGGTGCATTAACATACATGCAGGTAAAACGCTCATACATACAAAATTTTAAAATATTTTAAAAAGTGATTAGATCATTAACAGAACTGCTTTCATTGGTGGATTAATCATAATTTGTGCTGTCATTGTGAGGTGGTGGAGACTAGAGTTGGTATCTAGTTGTGGGGTGGCATGCCCTGGCATGCCCTGTCTTCTTGTGCTGTGCCTCCCGCCCACCGTGAAGTGTGTCACTTTGTTCCTGCCAACATGGTGTTTGGCCTCACCATGCTCAGGCCCAGAAGCAATAGTCCAGTCACTGGAACCTATGAAACCATGAGTCAAATCTTTCCTTCTATTAAGTTGTTTTTCTCAGGTGTTTTTGTTATAGTGATGAAAATCTGACTATGCAGGAGGCCAAGCATGTGCTCTGAAGCCTGGCTGAGGTCTGTCTATGGACCTTGTTCCAGGGAATGAATTACATCAGAAAATAAAAAAGCTTTTCTTTGTGGCTGCGAAAGGATCTGAATGGGGCTGGTTGAGGTGGCTCAGTGGGTAAAGGTGCTTGCTGCCAAGCCTGATTTGAGTTTGATCCCTGGGACCCACATGGTAGAAAGAGAAAACTGACTCCAAGTTGTCCTCTAACCCCCACATATGCTCTGTGGTTCACATGCACAAATAAGTAAACGTAATAAAAATTTAAAACTTAATGCAAATGGCTTTGGGACTTTTATACTTGGGAAGAAGGAGTTAAGGATTCATGGAGGGGCCTGGAGGTAGGGGGTCAGCTGAGCTGGGAAGAGGCTGAAAGGGTAGGAGTGGTTCACAGAAGTGGTCCAAAGGTGAGGGGTCCCTACTGTTTCCCTGTGAGGTGAGTGGTGTGGTATCCTCTGCAGTCAAGGGGAGCCACTGGAGGGCCTCAGAAAGGCAGAGTTTTCAATAGTACCTCAAGCTGGGGAAGAGAAGCCAGGGTAGAGAATGGGCTGCAGGCTCTTGAGAATGGAGTCAGGGTCGCCATTCATTGTTTGGTGGATAGGAAGGTGGCTGGACTATCCCTGGGTCGGATCAGGGTGCAGTATCAGGCTCTGGAGATGATGGGATGCAGCTGGCTATTCTGCTCCAGACCCCAGACCCTGGATCCTCCTTCACTCCCCCTCCCTAAGATATTGCAGGATGTCTTAAGGTGCACCAGCATGACCAGGAGCCTGGGACACCCTGGGCAGTGGGCCCAGGGGAGCTGACTGGGCAGGGAGGCAATCCATGAAAGTGTATCATTTTTTTTTTCAGGTGAGCTGCCACAGGCTAGACAGTGGTCATCAAGGCATATGTGTGGGGCAGTGCTCCACACTCCCAACCTGGCAGATCTGGCTTCACTCTGCCTATGTCCAGGGCCAGCAGAAGATGGCCTCTGCCACAGAAAGGGAAGTGGAGAGGGAAGTAGCAGCAAACTGAATCCCCTCAATCTTCTGAGGGTCTGTGTAGAGGGCTTAATGTGGGGGGCCTACTGGAGAGTCTAGCACTTGGTAGGGATTCATTGCCTTCCTCCGAGAAGGTGTCAGAATCTTTCTGACCTCAGGAATATGATTAAGGAAACATTTCCTTGGTCTAGACCTAAGAAGCTTCAGATACTTTGCTCTTGCAGAGGACCTGCATCAGTTCCCAGCACCCATATCAAGTGGCCCACAGCTACCTGCAACTCCAGCTCCAGGAGATCTGAAAACCTCTTCAGGCCTCTAGGAGCACTCACACACACAAACAAATCTTAAAAAAACAAGAAGACACTTTAAAGCATGAGGGTTCACAGAGGTACTTGAAAGTACACACCCAAGAGCACCGGTGTTGCTGTCCAAGAGATGCCCTGGCTTTGCCTGTGCTAAGCTATGTGGCCTTGGTCACTTTACCTCTCTAAGCCTCCCACACACAATGCAGGGTACTGGGATACTGGTTCTGCAACCCAGGGCTGCTGAAGCCGACATCGTGGCTGGCCAAGGGAGGAGCTAAGGTATCTTGTCCAGCTTCGCTTTTGTCTGTGAGTGTGGTTCCTCCTCAGTCCCAGGGGCCAGCATCCAAACCCAGCATGTTGTGTCCCAAACTCCCATGACAATTCAGAGACAGTGCACATCAAGATGGCAGCTTTAATCATCCTGCCCATGGCCCTCAGGCACCCTCCACTGAGGGCCTCCTGGGCCACAGGCCAATGCTTGACTGAGCCCAGAGCACTTTGCCCAGGTGGCCCCTGATCTGTGGCCACTGCTGTGGGAACCTGAGGTCATATCAGTCTATTGATCTCCTGGGCCTCACGGCCGCTTCTGCCCCAGAGGCCTTGTTGGACAGTTGGGCATAAGACAGAACAGCCCTGTGCCAATGCTTCTGGCCATCGCTAGCTGCTTCTCAGGGACACGGCTCAAATCCTTGCTGGAGGAGTGGCCAGAGGTGGTAGAAGACTGGAGGGACATGTCTCCACCACATCCACTGAGTTTCTTTCTGGGCCAACATTCCTTGTGCTTTGAGACTGCTGTTGAGAACAGAGTTGCCAGGCCAGGGTGGAAGTCCAGCCAAAGTCCTCAAGGCAGGATGAAAACGGAGTCAGTCACCTCACAAGACAGACAGGTAGATAGACAGGTGTGGGCACAGGTAGGCATCCACAGCCTCCCCTGGCACAGGGGACATGGCACAGCCCAGTCACTCACCAAAGCTTCCAGGCTGGGAGGTCAGGGAGGGCTTCAAGAGTGGACCAGGAGACCAGGCCCTCACTTCCTAGATGAAGAAGCCCCAGGCCTGCAGGGGCATATGAGAGGCCAGAGTCCCAGCCCAGCAGAGCCCCTCCAAGAGAGGCTGGAACTGATAAGGGGCTTGGGGTCCACAAGGAGGCTGTGGCGCCAGCTCCCTGAGCACTTCAGGACCAGCTTCTGTCAGCTTTCCTACTCTTCCAATTTCTGCCCTCAGAACAAGTTGGGCAGACAGATCTTCAGCTAACGCCCACCCCGGTCTGTGAGGGTCTTGGTGCAGGTGCCACCACCTCGAGGGCCCCCAGGGGTGGCTGTGCTGTTGGCATAGGTGTCATAACTGCTGTCTGAACACACGGAGAGCTCATCGGAGACCTCCACCCCATCACTGATCTCTGTTGGACCAGAGGGGACAGAACATAAGTGGGGACAAGGGGTTCTGAGAACAGCTGGTAGAGAAGGCATTCAGAGGTAGATGTAACTGCTAGGTCAGGCTGGCATTGAACCTGTAGGCACTGAGCATGGCATACAAGGGGGGACACTGCCCAACCCTTATGCCTTGGTCTCTCCTGGGCCCTTAGTCCTCTGTCTCCTGTAACTCCACCTTCCAGTCACAGAAAACCATGGCACTCTCATATGGTTGTTACCCAGTGTTCACTCTCCACCAGGCATTTGCATATACCCCTTCCTCCTGGGTGACCACCCTCTGCACTAACACCTCCTTTTCTAAGATCTTTCTCAGGTCTCCCCATCTTTGGTATGTCCACTTCTTCCTGGCCTCATCCTTCAGGCCAGCCTGCTTTAGCTGGTTCCCATCATGGCTGAGTGGGTGCTGGGCTCCCACTGAGCAGAGCCCTTCAGAGGCACCTGTGTCCAGGTGTTGGCAGAGTGCTGGGCAGAGCTGAGGTTCAGGAAAGGTCTGCTGTGGAATGGGCACAGTTCTGTGGAATGCTGCTTGGCTCCTGGTGCCCAGGCAAGCGGTGCAAACTTAGAGCACACCTGTTTCCCCAGGAGCACCTGTCCTTGTCTTTGCTTGCTTGTTCTATTACCTAGGCACCTCCTGGCATCCTTCAAATCCCACCATTCCAAACCTTGCTTGCTGACCCAGGGAGCTGTGAGCACACTATCTATTTCAGTTCTCATTCTAAGAGCTGCAATAGCACCCAATTTTGCACATTTCTCTATAGCTGCCTTCCCATGAGACTGGGAAGGTCAGTAGGGTGAGCCAGGCAAAGTTGTCACTTGTGGCAGTCATGTGTGGAACAAAGGAAGGGGTCGGGTTTTCAAACAGACCCCCCCACCCCACATGTCACATTTGTCCACCAATCATGGACTAACACTGAGCCCCAGGATCTAGGGTTGACTGCACGTGGAAGTACATGCATTTCTGTGTCCGAGTGTCTCAGTACGTGCTTGGGTGTTAACTCAAGGGATGGTATGTCCACCTGACCTGCTATGTGTATGGCACTGAGGCCAGGGCCTGTGCAGGCTGTCACCTGAGAAGATGAGCTTCTCCTTCATGATGCTGACATCCCGGCTGGTCCTGCGCACAGCTGCACTCAGCATGATCTGCTCAGGGTTATAACTCCGTATGCCACCCAGACGCCACCTGCAGAGATGGCCCCGTGGGCATCAGGTCCTTCCCCACCCTCCCTGAAGCAGAGACCCTGCTCACTTCCAGAGCCTCTCTGTATGTGATCTAAGAGGCCCTTGCTACAAAGGGGAAAGTTGAGGCTCAGAGAGTGGCTGTCTACTGATTCCCAACCAAGGCTCTTCTACCTTGCTCTTCCCCCCTCATCGTGATCATCAACAACCTGGGCCTAGAAAGATGGTTTCATTAGTTCTGTCCCTAGATGCCTCTAGTTATAGTCCTGGCTCTATTGAATGAGACAATCTTGGGAGGAAGGAGCTTAGCAGGCAGGTCTCTGATGCTCTGCTTTGACAGACATACTAATAATCTCAGGAAGCCCCAGCAGAGGCCTCCCTGCAACCCCACCACCACAACAGGCTGAGCAAAGCCAGGGGGAACCTGGGAGAGGAAGGTGGCAGTGAAGTTTTGCTCAGAACTGGTCCTCACAGGTTCCCCAGACAAGGGTGTTAGCAGGACTTGGAGTGGAGCTGTATGATTAGAAATAAGTACCCCCATTCCCTAGGGGATGAACTCTGCTTAGGTGGGTGGAGGCAGCCAAGGCTCCATAAGAAATCCACTTTCTTATGGAATTTCTAGATGGGACCAGAACAGCAGAAATGGACAGACAGATGGTGGGACACGGCAGACAGGGGGAAGCACAAGGCAGTGGGGGAAGGCACCTGTGCCCTGACTGGGCTGGCTGCCCTACCAATCCGTGAGGGCAGTGCTCATGTCTCTGGCTCCTTGTCAGACTCCCAGCACCAGCCTCAATGCCTGGCATGCTGTGGGGTATTGGGCAAGTGTTTGTTGAGTGAATGAATGAAAGAATGAATGAGGCCCACAGAGAGATGATCTTCCCCTTGCATCAGCCCCTAAGTCCCCTCTTCCCTCTGGCTATTCCTTACCCTTGGGGAGACAATGACACTGCCTTGGCTATGTGTGATAGGCCTAGCACTAGTCTAGGCAGCATGTGTGGAAGGACAAACTAGATAAACTTCCCTTCAAAAGCTGTCTCATAGCCAGGGGGCAGGTTCTCCTCCTTGAAGCTGGTTAGGGAAGCCACTTGACCCAGCAGGGCCTAAGGCAGTGAGAGAGAGACACTTAGATCCTTTAGACCTGGGTCTCACCTCAGAAATTAATGTTAGGACCCAGTGAGGAAAGCGTCATGCCAGGGTCTCTGAAGCCAGGCACATTAGGGACAGGAAGCACTACAGGGGAGCCCTCCCCCTGGGAGATAGAGCAAAGTAATGGGGGTGGGGGTGGGGTCAAAGACAGTGAGAAAGAGAAAAGAAATGGGAGAGAAACAGAGCACCGACCACAGGAAAGTAAGTTCTGAGAGACAGAAGGCAATGGAGCAGGAGTGAGACAGAAACTGGGGCTCTGCACTGGGCAGGTGGCAAAGCGCCTCCTGAGTGCTGGACACTTGGGGATGAGGGTACCCCGGTGGGGACCCTCTCCCCAGAGGAGACACTGTGGTGCTAGAGAAGCTGGGTCAGGACCTGCCAAGGGGGAATGGTAGTCTCCACTTGCAGAAACTGCAGTAAGATCCAAAAGTAGGACACACAGGGCCGGGCAGGAAGAACTCATCCCAGGACTCAGGAGGCTGAGACAGGAACATCAAAGTTGGAGGCCAGCCTGAGCTACATAGTGAGACCTTGTCTCAAAGGGGGGTGGGAAGAACAGAGAGGAGAGTTTCAGCAGGAGAGAAGGGCAGGGTCTTCAGGCATGGAGATAGGCAAGGTGACCCAGGCTCAGGGCTTGGTGCACAGCAGCTTTTTGGACAGAACTAGAGAGGGAATGGTCAGAAGGGAGAAAGAGGGACAGGAGGAAGAGCACACCAGAATTACCTGATCAAGTGATAGCTGTGAGATGCCAGAGTGCAGCAGAGAGGGGGAGGGGAGAGAGGAGGGACATGCGCCGATCAGAGCAGGATGGGACAGAGAGAGAACGTCAGTCAAGAGCCAACCCCAGCCCCTTGGTTCCTGGTTGTCTAAGGCCCCAGGCTAGCCCCAAATCCTCCCTTCCCCAGACCACCCACTCTACCCATGGCAACCATGTGCCAGCCGTCCCGAGGGGTGGCGGATTTTTCGGCCAGCAGACTAGTACCAGTCCTGCCAGGAGTAAACCCATGCCTTGGCTAATGGTGGGCAGGATGGCCACAGAGGGGGTGACATCTACCAGAGTCCATATAGATCAGGATAACTCTTGGCTCTGAGCTCCCAGCTGGGTTGCTCATTCCAGAGGCCACCCACCCTCTACTGAGGGAGAGGGCTGGGCCTGCTGAGGGGTAGGCAGGTCATGGAGCTGTGGGGGCCTACTCACTTCTGGAGCACGAAGATGCCAATGATGAGGCTGAAGGAGATCAGATCTGCAGTAACCCACATTAGGCAGTACTCGTCTGGAGGCTGTGGACAGATGGCCCAAGACCAGCTTCCAGTCATGACTCATCCAGACCAAGGGGCATGGGCTGGAGGACCTCAAATGACTGGTGAGGAGGGGCAGAGAACCTTGAAGGTGCTTAAGACTTTATTTTGCAGGAATGGACTCTAGGCATAATGGGCTGGGGCGGGGGGGATGCACTCACTCAAAATAGAAGCGGTGTGTTAAGCCTGGAGGGTTTTGGAGTTCCTGGGCACTCAAGGCAAGAGCCAAATGATAAAAGATGGGTCCTTTATTTATTTATTTGTTTGTTTGTTTTTTGGTCTTTTTGAGACAGGGTCTCCCTGTAGCCCCAGCTGTCCTGGAACTCACTATGTAGACCAGGCTGGCCTTGATCTCACAGAGATCTACCTGCCTCTGCCTCCCAAGTGCTGGGATTAAAGGCATGTGCCACCATACCCAGCTCCGGCCTTTTATTTGAATGCAAGGTGTCATGTGCCTGGTAAGTGGTTATGTGACCCTGTGAATAGGTATGGGGTACCTGTGTGGGGCAGGAGGGCATTGAGCCTCAGGCATTGAGGGCCTGAGGAAGGCAAAGTCCTGCATGCAGCCTCAAACCCTCAATCTCAGGCAAATGGGGGAGGGATGGGGAGAGGACCTTTCTTGCTGTCCATCAACTCTCTGGGGCCTGAACAGGGGCCCGAACACTTCAGTGTGTACACCTTTGCTGCCTGCCTGTCAGTTATTTCACATCACTTCACCTTAAAGGAGTCTTGGGAGATATTTAAGGGCCATGGGTGGGTGGGAGCTGAAGAGCAGGGTCTTTCTGGCTTGGCAGGGGTCATGGTGAACTGTAGTGTCTGTATCCATGGCCCAGCCCCCATCTATTTCTCTCCATGTTTGAGGCCTTCTTCTGGCTTCTCCCATGCCTAGTTCTCCTCCCCCAAAACATGTATAACTCAGCTCTGACACTGCATTCTCTTAGCTATGGAGCCCTCTGTCTTCTGTGTCCTCAGGGACATGGCAGTGGGAGCCTCCACTGTACTGCTGGGGTTTCTCTAGGCATGGAGACAGAGCACTACAGAACAGGAGCAGGAGCTCAGCTGACTCCTGAGCTCCTGCCCAGGAGGCTCCACAACTGACTCCTACACTTTCTACTCATTGCCCTGTCAGCAGATCTGCCCTGTCTGTATCCTTTCTCTAATACCTTCCCTTTCTTTAAAACCAAATATAATGGACAGCCCAAAACCTAGGGAGCCTAGGATCAGGCCTAAGGTTCTCAGTATCTCAGTGCAGATCCTAGAAGGTGTGGCAACTCCGCTCTGCCTCAGTCTATACCCCCACCATGGAATACTCAGCTCAAGCCCTCCCCAGGGAGAGCCCTGGCAGGTCACAGGTGTGCCTCCCCCATCCCCCAGATATCCTCTGTCCCCAATGATGTCCAACTTCCAACTCACCATGATCCAGAGGGGAGAAGGCACCCGGGAAAGGGCTTGGGAGTTGTCAGAAGTGACAGATGGGACCCCAGCGCACCAGAGCAGGGAGAAGAGCCACGGTGCATTGACAGTGTAGAGGTTTACACTCAGGTTCCAGGATGCGTAGTCCCTGGGTAGGGGTCAGAGGTTAGTCATCCAGCTCCAGCTGCTTTGCTGTGTGGGAAGCTGGTAAAGCATCCTCCAACAGCCTGGTACCCTCACACACACACACACACACACACACACACACACACCACCCCCAGGGTATAAGGTATGTCCGTGCCCAGGGGGCCATGCTGACAGGCAAGCCCACCTCACTCCTGAACCCCATGTGCCCAGGTTCCTTGTGTTCTGCCCTGTGCCCAGATGTGTTAGGCAGTCGATGAGAATGGGAGACACACAGTCCCCCCTCCTTCAGGGGTGCCTGGGGTGGCAAAGGGCAGGCACCTGAGCTCCTGGTGGGACACCTGAGTGTAGCGCAGGTTTAGCCTCTGGATGTGCCCTTTCCGTAGGCTGGCAATGGCTTCCTTGGAGCCCGATGTTTGCTGGAAGCCAGGAGCCACCTTCCGTACTAGAGGCCTCTGTTTGTTAGGCAGCCACATGACCTGCCAGCAGGAGATGGGGTGAGACAGTCAGGTGTCTAGTCTCCAAATTGGGGGTGAAAGCTCTACCCTTTCTAGAGCATTGAAGGTTCACAGAGGGAGCCTGTGAGGCTGGAGAGATGGATCAGCAGTTAAGAGCACTGGCTGTTCTTGCAAAAGACCTGGGTTCAAATCCCAGCACCCACATGGCAGCTAACAACCGTCTGTAACTCCAGTTCTAGGGGATCTGATGCCCTCTTCTGTCCTCCATGGATGCTGTACAACATAGGTGCACTCACATACATGCAGGCATGACATACACATAAATAAATAAAAATTAAAAGCAAGGGGGCCTGCCCACAGCAGTAGAGCCCTCCAGCACAACTCAGGGAACTTCCCTGGCCAGGACAAGATGGACAACCCAAACCTCTTCTCCTCTAGAGTGCTGTGCTATCATAGACTGTTTTCAGGTTCCTCTGTTCCCAATGTCACACCACAGTGGTTTGGGCTAGTAACCTGAGAACATGGGCCAACCCTTCTCTCTGAACAATTGAAGGAACTTGTATCCTTTCCTGTCCACACAGTGGTCCAGTCAGGGAGGTGAGGAACACACAGTATTCTTTATACAAATGAAAAGCTGGAGTCTCCCAGGGTACAGGTGAATCTATGGTGGTACAGAGCTGAGCCATATCACCCAGTGGGTCTCACCTGGTGCTGTGGGAAGCCAGAGCGCAGCACGGCCTCCAGTGTAACATTGAGAAAGCTGCCACGGTAAGGGTGCTCACGGGGTGGGTCGCGAAGGTTGAGCAGCAGCGTGGTGTTGCCCTTGGCTAGCTCCAGGAGCTCTGCCAGGCTGCAGATGGACTGGTTCTGGGCTTCCCTATGGTCGGAGGGTGATAGGGAGCTGGCTGTCCAGAAGGGGTCCGTCTGGTAGAGACAGGGGCATACAAGGCTGTCACCAGCCATTTGGCACTTTCACATACTTTCCTGCCAACGTAGCAAGGAGACACCCCCCCACACTGGACACCCCCCCCAGGCTACCAGTGGTTACTGGTATGTCAGGGAATTGATGGCTGTGGCCCAGTGGGGGTCCTAGGAATACCTAAATCTCACCTCTATACCCTGTACCTGCTTCCTGAGAAAATGCTTTGCTTGGAGGCCCTCTGTCTAGCCTTGGACTCATGTAGCCAGGGATGACTTTGAACTCCTGATCCTCTTTGTCTCCATCTCTTGAATGCTGGGATTATGCCACTAAACCAGGTTTATGTGGTATTGGGGATTGAACTCAGGGCTTTGTACATGCTAGGCAAGCACTCTACCAACTACATCCTTAGTCTTAGAGCTGTTGTTTCAACAGCCTGTTAATCATCAAGAGTCTCATGAGAAAGCTAGTGGGGCACAGACCCTAAACAAGCAGCTATAGACATGAGGTCTGGATGCAGGAGTCACGGGAGCCACTGCCCAGCCTGGCTAGTATCATCTGAGCAGATGGCCACCTGCCTCCCTTCTCGGGGACCCTGCTGTGTTTCCCATGCTTAGGATAGGCCCAGTTGCAGGTAGACCTTGAGGAACCACTGGCCAGCGTTGAGCCTCTGCAGAACAGTCCAGTTGAGCATGGCTGCAGGCCTCCAGGCAAGCTCTGGGAATACCTGCTCCACATCGGTGGTGCGCCGCAGAGTGGTGTCATGCATGAGGAAGGGCACACCATCCAAGCTGCAGGAAAGGGGAGCCATCACCACCCACCCAAGGCTTTCACCCTCTTCCAATGACCACCCCAACTCTTCCTCACCCTCAAGGGACCCAGCAGTCTTTCCCTCTCTCAGCTACAGGCTTCCCACCTACACAGAGAGAACACTGGCCCAGTGGGGACCTTGAAGGGACAATGTCCTTTATGGAGGTCAGGTTGGGGGGCTGCTGAGGGAGGAATGGGGAAAGGTTGGGTCTGTTCTCTTAGTAATCTTTGAAGGTAGGTGCTGCCTCATTTGCTAATGGAGAAACAGGCTAAGAGGAGGAAATACTTAGCTCAAAGCCAATGGCCACTAAATGATGGAACCTGGCTTGGAACCAAGGCCATGAAATGCCTTAAGGATAACAGAGCCATCGCAGGTTCCTGTGACAAATTCCACACCTGCTCCATCCTTATCATCCCAAGTTGGCAACAGTGTAGTATGAAACAGTAAAAGGCACCCGTGCTCCCCATTCCTCAAGGCTTTGTTCCGCCTGCCGCCAGATCCATACACAATTCTATGCTGTCTACACCGGGAATGGTGACCCCACATATGCAGTATTGTTTAGAGCACAACCTGTGCAATAATATATAGTGCCTGCCCATCTCTCCTCCTTAGGGTCATCTCTAATATGAGGTTGGTGTGGATTTTCCTGTCATTTATACTAATACATGCTTTTGTATCTATAGATGAAAATGTACACATCACTTTTGTGTGGTCTTTAAAAACTGGCATCATAGTAATCGTATTGCTCTGTAACTAACTTCAGTTATCCAAGTGTTTGAGCTCTACCATTCAGTGACACACAAACAGTTTTCTTTGCAGTGTGTCTAGGGTGGGGATCCAGGTCTCCACACTTAAACCCTGCCTGAACCAAATGTCCATTCTTTATATTCCAGAGTCTGCCACAAGCCTTATTTGCATAAAAAGGATGCCTGGCTTCCTGTGGATGAGCCAGGAGATAGTCTCCTATCTCCAAGGCTGGGACAGGAGGGTCCACCTAGAGGCCCAGATACAGATGCAAGGGGACAAGGTGCCACTGCCCTTCCCCACCACACCAACCTGATGGTGACGTCAGCTTGAAGCCCATATAGTTTCTGCTCCAGGGCCTTCCGGAAGGACATCAGTGTGTGCTCTGGGGCCAGCTGGGGAGGAAGGAATGGTGAGGGCAGAGCCAGGGTTCGGCTGATGACTCCTCCCCAGCTGGTGGAAAATCTTCCCTGCTGCAAGCCTGGTTCTCATTCCGGCTCCTGTGTAGAGTAGCTGTGTGATCCCAGGCACCCACCCAGCTGCTCCGAGGCTCAGTTGACTCATCTTTTAGATTATGTGAAGAGGCAGGTACTGTGCTTACTATGGACCTGTGTGAATGCCTGACACAGCTAACAAACAGATCTCTGACCATATAGCACCCTTGGTGTGTCCCAGCACTGAGCTAAACTCTGCAGGGAAAAGGCCTTTTGGGGGACTGGAGTGGTTAAGAGCATGTATTGCTCTTCTAGAGGATCTGCGTTTGATTCCCAGAACCCACAGGTGGCCAACAACCACCTGTAATTCCACTGCCAGGGGATACGACACCTCTGACCTCTGTGGGCTCCAGTACTAATGTGTGCATGCGTGCATTCTCTGTGTCTCTGTCTTTTTGTCTGTCTCTCTCTCTCACATACACACAAATTCGAAAATTTTAAAAACTTTGCTGGGCGTGGTGGCGCACGCCTTTAATCCCAGCACTGGGGAGGCAGAGACAGGCGGATCCTCTGAGTTTGAGGCCAGCCTGGTCTACAGAGTTCCAGGCAGCTGGAGCTACAGGCAGACCCTGTCTCAAAAAAGACGAAAAAAAAAAATTTTTTTTAAACTTTAATTTTTTTTTTTTTTTTTAAAAAAAGACCTTTTGCGTAGGCCTATAGCCTTGTGACAGCCTTGGGCGGGGGATGAGTGCCCAGTTCCTTCTTTGTTAATCTCAGAGCCCAGACATGGTGGAGATCCTAGGGAGTGGGGGTAGGGTGAGGGGATGAGGTTTCTGTGGCATGATGAGTTTCTATACAACCATGATACTACTCCCTCCCTCTTTGGACTGCTACATGGACTAAAACCCCATCCTATGCCTGAATCCCAGAAAGTTCTTAATAATTGGTAACCATATTCAGACCAACTAGAAGATCCTGTTCTAGCCTTCACCCTGCATGATCCAGCTTTGCGACCTTGAGCATATTCTCCCTCCCCATCTGCTTCCTCATTTGCCTACTGGGGATGTGGGCTCACTGTTCTCCGAGGGTCCTTAGGCTTGAGAGAATCAGGTTCCAAGTCTCCCTCCTTTGGGTCCATGTGTCAGTAAATTGCCATACCTCTTGCTACCACTAGGGGTCAACACTGAACCAGGGATTGGACTGACCAGGCGTGTCAGACAGAAGGCAATCATTTGGGGACCCTGGACACAGGCATTTACAGGGACATGCAGGGACCCTGGCTGGTCTCTAAAAATCAGCACTAAAAAATTAACCTTGAGCTGACAAGATGGTTCATTGGGCAAATGTGCTTGTTGCCAAGCCTAATGACCTGAGTTTGATTCCTAGGACACCCAGGGTAGGAGAAATTGTCCTCTGATCCCAATGTGTGCTATGATGCACTCCCTTCCCCCAACATCAATAAACAAATGTTTAAAAAAGTTGACCTTGGGGCTGGAGAGATGGCTTGGTAGTTAAGAGCACTGGCTGTTCTTGCAGAGGACCCGAGTTCAATTCCCAGCACCCACATGGTGGCTGACAACTGTCTGTAACTCCAGTTCCATGGGATCCAATGCCCTCTTCTGTCCTCTGAGGGCACTGCATGACACAGATGCACATACACAAGCAATACACTCATACACATAAAATTTTTTAAACTAATCAATCAAAAAAAAGTTAACTTCAAATAGTGGTTAACAGAGGCTAGGATAGGGGCTGGAACAAATGAGTAAATTCCGGCACCCCATAGCAATAGAGTGACTATGGTAAATGATAATTTATTTTCTGATTCCAAACAGGCAGAGGAGAGGATTTTGCATGTTCCCAATACAATGTACATGTGTGAGGTGATAGGCATGCCAATCACTCTGATTTGGACATGATACATCATGGGAGTAGCACTCTGCCCTGAAAATATGTACCATTATTATGTATCAGTTAGAATAAATAAATGAACAATAAAATGAACACCACAGCCAGGCATGGTGGCACAACCCTGCAACTTCAGCAGTCAGGAGGCTGAGGCAGAAAGTTTGTGAGTTCCAGGCTAGCCTGGGCTACACACTAAGACCCTGTCTCAAAAATGAAACAACAGATAAACAAACCAAAAACCCCAAGGATGCAGATGTATAAGATGAGAGGTCATGCAAGTGACAGCTTCTTCAATAAAGAGCACGAAGAATAAATGGGAGGCTTGTCACAGATTAAAAGGCATTCAGGAGACGTACATCAAGCAGATGTACCACAGGATATCATTTGGATCCTTATTTATTTATTTATTTATTTATTTATTTATTTATTTATTTATTTTGGTCTTTTTGAGACAGGGTCTCCCGGTAGCCCCAGCTGTCCTGGATTCACTATGGAGACCAGGCTGGCTTCGAACTCACAGAGATCCTCCTGCTTCTGCCTCCCGAGTGCTGGGATTAAAGGCGTGCACCACTGAGCCCGGCCTGGATCCTGATTTTTAAAATTTGCACTATAAAAAGATAGTTTTGTAGACAACCAAGGGAAACAAAACTATGATATTAAGGTATATGAAGGAATTGTTAATTTGGTGGGTTATTAAAAAGCATTATGGATTTTTTATTATCATTATGTGCATATGTGGTGTGGGTAAACATGCCACAGCACAGAAGGCAGCTATATGGAGTCACTTCTCTCCTTCCACCTTTACGTGGGTTCTGGGGATTGAACTCGGGCTGACAGGCTCGCACAATGAGCACTTTTACTTGCAGAGCCATCTCACCAGCCTGTTTTTGCTTTTGTTTTTAAGTCCTTATGTGCTGGTGTGCTGAGCATGGTGGCATATGCCTGTAGTCTCAGCACTCAGGAAGCAGGAAGACTGTTCCAAGTTTAAGGCCAGCCTGTCTCAAAAAAGCAAGTCAAAGCAAAACAGAAAGCCCATATGTGTAAGATATATATCCTAAAGCATGTCAGAGTGAAACTGCCTGATGTCTAGGATTCACTTTACTCATGCAGAATAGCAGGAGATCGTGGTACCAGAATGGCAAGATGCTGGAGTGTGGAAGGCAGTAAGAGAGTCACCATTATATGATATGTTAGAATAGTCTTTTCATTTGGTGTATGTTTGGATTTTTTAATATTTTATTTTATATGTATGAGTGTATTGCCTGCATGTATATATGTTGTGCAGTGCCCACAGGAGTCAGAAGAAGCACTGGATCCCCTAGAACTGGAGTTACGGATGATTGTTAGCCGCCATGTGGGTGCTGGGAATCAAATCCAGGTCCTCTGCAAGAGCAGTCAGGCTCTTAACCACTGAGCCATCTTTCCAACCCCATGTTTGAATTTTTTTTAATGAAGAAAATAACACTGGGGCCGACTCATCCCTCTTCCTCCTCCCCTGTTCTGCTTTATGTAAGACCTCCAGACCTACAAAGGCCAGGTCTTCCTGGGAAGGCTAAGTTTCTAATCTCTCAAAATAGCAACGACATGGGCACTCCCAACTTGAGGCTCAAAGGGACTGGTGATTCCCCAACACACAGATAGCAAACTGTGCCCCCATTCAGATTCCACCTGGCTGCCTCTGGGAGGTGCCAGCCTCACACCAGTGTGGGATTTGGTGGTAGGGTACCAGGTTTTAGCTCAGGAGCACATGCCTGTAAGTTTTTTCTAGAATATAAGTCATATCACGTGTAGGGAAGGACTTTACAGCCCCATTATGCACATCTTTTTTATTATTTTTGTATGTATATGTGTGTGGTGTGCATGTGTGCACATATGTATGCATGTATGTGGATACACATGTGAGTCCATGTGTGGTCAGAGATCGATATTAAGAGTCTTCTCCCTATTGCTTTCCACTTTATATATTGAAGCAGGGTCTTTCCCTTGAACCCAGAGCTCACCAAATCTTCCAGCTACACAGATCGCCCCAGGAATCCCCTTGTGTCTGCCTCCCAGAGGCTGGGATTACAGGCAGGCAATCAGGCCTGCCCAGCATTTATGTGGGTGTTGGTGATCTGAACGCTGGTCCTCGTACTTGTGCAGCAATCACCCTGAGCCATCTCCACAGTCCCTGTTCTGTCTTTCATAGTGCTGGAATGAGAGTTGGGGATGTAGCTCAGTGGTAGAGTGCTTGTCTAGCAGGAATGAAGTACTGGGTTTGATCCCCAGCACCACACAAACCCATGTAGTGGTGCATGCCTGTAATCCCAGCACTCAAGGTGGAGGCAGGAGGATGTTCAAGATCATTCTCAGATACATACTGAGATGGAGGCTAGCCTAGGATATGTGGGACCCCATCTCAAAATAAAAACAAAATCAAGTACATTTCTGGGATGGAACCAAGGGGCTTATGCATGCTAAGCAAGTGCTCTACCACTGAGCTACATGCCAACCCAGGCACATCTTTTAAAGTCATTGCTTTGTGAGGTCTTTTTCTACCCTGAAATCCAATGGCAAAGTGGAATTCCCAGGAAAGGCCAGCACTCAGGGAGTCCCAGATGCCCCTTGGGGATGGGGACAGGTACTGCCTCTTCTAGGAAGCTCTGGTGGGTGGGGAGGCCCTGATCCTAACGGATCCTGCCAGAGGTCACAGCAATGCCTCTTTCCTCCTGTGTGCCTGGTACACATCTGGACCCTTCATCCATGCTCCTTCTCACCTCACAGGGGTAAGCAGGGACCCTTACTGTTCACATGGCACAGGAACAAACAATACACAGAGAAAGGGAAACCATGCCTCTCCTGCAGCTGGCCAGGGGCTGGACCAGGCCCTACCAGGCAGCATGGCCTTGAAACCTCTCTCAGTCTGAGCTCTCCCATAGGATGCTGGGTACCTCAGGGGCAGGGCTGGACTATGACTTTGACTTTATCCTTTTCTCTTCAGTCAGGTTTGACTATCTGTTCCTTCTCTTGGCCTTAGCCCCAGGCTACCTGGCTACAGCTCTCTCCTGTTCTCCTTAACCCAGCTGGCAGTGCTGGGCTGGAGCTTAAAACTGCATGACATCTCTAGGGCCTCAGGATAAGCATTTGATTTTTCTAGCAACAACTGTTAGGACTCCTCAGGATCTGTGTTCACCCAGGTTCTTATCAGACCTTCCCATATTCCTCCCCAAACAGGGTCCTCCCCTGCAGTGGCAGCTGCCCCAACTCCACCCAGTCTCGGAGGGCCCTGTGTGGACACTCACCATAGGGGCCCCACGGTGGCCGATGAGGGCAGGTTTGGGGCCCAGGTCCTTTTTCTCCATGATGCAGGGAGAAGAGATGGCAAGAGGAACCAAGTAGAGAGCAAAGACCACAGCAAAGAAGGTGCAGAGGATGGTGACCTGGGAGGCTGCAGATACGGGCAGTGAGCACCTCTTGTGAGTTGTTCTGCCCCCACCAGGCCAAACCAGGAGCCCAGGTTTGCCAGAGTGGGAAGCAGGACCCTGGTGCTCTGAGGGGTGGCCCTCAGTCTTGCTGGGAAGGTGGACACACAGACTCAGGGACTTGGAGCAGAAATCCAAGGCAACGCCTGGTGGCATCTGTGGACTACTTGGAGTCAAGTCCTCATGCTGAGCACCGGGTACCAATTCATGCCCAAGCCACCCAGATAGAGTCCCAGTGGGGGCACCTCAAACTGGCCTGGGTACTTGTAGAAGTCAGGAGAAAAGGCCCTGCCCAAGGGTACTCACAGGATCTTTCTGTGCGGGCGAATTGTCCTGCTACAATCCAGGAGAGCGCAGTGATGGCCACCAGGGCCCCTATATGCAGGAATGGTGCTGTGCCCTGTGTATGGGGAGAGGCAGAGGGCCCTGGGACTCACAGCCAGGCCCAGACCCTCAGGTCATCAGTATGCGGCTGGCCTGCTTCTAACTACAGGGCAAGCAACCCTGTCTCCATTTGGCAGCCAAGAGGAATCTGGAGATTCTGGGGCAGAGCAGCATCCCCACCTCTGACCTGCTGTGTAATCTGGGACCCCCTCCCTGCCCTTTTCTGGGCCTTGGTGTGGAGAAAAAGGAGTGATAAAAAAGGCACTGCCTGTCACAGAGGCCCTGGGGAGGCAGTGGCCTGGTCCCTGGCCCACCCCACTCACCTGCAGGGAGAGCAGAAGCACCTTCCACTCATCTTCCCACAGCTGGGCCACTGCTGACATGGCAACCACTGTGGAGGTCAGGATGACCACCAACCCAATCTGCAATGGAAGTACCAGACAGAGCTCAGAGCTGGAGTGAGGAGCCCTATGTTTGGGAGAAGGGGATGGGAGAAAGAGCAGAAAGACAGAGCTGGGGCGGGGCAGGGGAGGCTGGGATGGGCTGAAGGAAGTAGGGATAGATGAGAGGATAGCCAGAGGGAGAAGCAGGAGGGGCAACAGACCCCAAGAGGAAGAGATATGGAGGAAGACTGGAAATCAGGGCCCCTCCTGGGCTCTCAGCAACTTGGAAGGAAGCTGCCTTGCCCAGGGCTGAAGCTGTGCAGTGGGAGGAAGGGAGGGGCTCACAGCGGCACTATGGCAGGAGCAAGTCCTGACACAGGGTCTTGCTTGCCCATGGTCTGTCTTACTAGACTGGCTGCCTGGATCTCCTGCATCTGTTTTCTTTTTTCTTTAGATAAGGTCTCATGTAGGCCAGGCCAGCCTTGAACTCCTGATTCCTGCCTCCACCTCCCTAGTACTGGTCAGGTGCTCGAACCACCACACCCAGTTTATGTTGTGCTGGGGATCAAACCCAGGGCCTTGTGTATACTGGACAGGCACTCTACCTACTGAGCTACATCCACAGTCCAGCTTCTAATGTGTTCTGCACAGTTATAAAAAGGAGCAGGGATACCTTCAGGGGACAGAGATCTGTGGGGAGAGATGGTATCTAAAACTCCCAACCTAAGTAAAACTCAGCTAAGGTTTCCTCCTTCAGTCCTCCCTGGAGTTCTTTCCGTTCTAAGTAGCCCCTCTCTCAGCCCCCCACAGCCCCCCAACAGGAGTCTCTGAAGAGCCCTTTCTGAGACATCTTATTACAACAGGACACCACCAGCGGAAGTCCTTGCAATAAAACCAACCCTCATAATCCTAATACAATTAAAATTTCATCACAGTTTTACAGCTGCTGCAGCAGTACCCATCATGCTTGGCAGCGTCACTGAAAGTTCAGCGAAGGGCTTCTTTTCCATTATGTCCTTCTGTCTCACAGGAATAGATCAAGTCACGATGTGACTCCTCCCAAACCTGACCTGGTGAGGGATCCACCTGGAGGCCTGAGGCAGAACTGAGCTCAGCCTTAGCATTTCTGTCCCTTTGGGCTCTGATTTGTGACAGTAACAAGAGGAATTCATTCTTTCCTTCATTCATCCACCTGAGTCTTGCCTGGGTGCCATGACCCAAGAGGAATTGAAATCCAGCCTTGAAGGGGTGCAATGGGCTGGATTTGGGGTACCTGATATTTAGTTCTGGGGTCCCCACACTTGAGTCACACTCCTGGTTCAAATCCTGGCTCTACTGCATTGGGGGAGGGTAACACCTTTAGAGAATTTCTGGGACATAGGGACAGTGAGTGCCTACCAGGAGGGGACTGGGGACACAGAACAGAAAATGCAAATAAGGTGCTTTGCAAGGTGGCTACTACTGAAAGGAAGTGACTTAGATTTGAGTGCCATAGTTCTGACTAATAGCAACCAAAAGGGGGAACAGGGAGGAGCAGATGAAATATTGAGGAAAGTGCCCATCATACACAGTAAGCAGTCAATAAATACTGCTTAATGTTGCTGTGATGAACACAGTGCCTGGCATACAAATGTGTCTGTTTCGAGCACAGCTGGAACGACAGAATCTAGCTGCCAGAAAGAACTGTGATGTGGACTTGCTGTTAGGAAACAGTCTGAATTCACCATCAATGCTGAAGTGTTCATGGGGACTCAGAAGGCACCAGCCCTGCACAGCTATACCTCCTGTGCTGTGTGCCTAGGTAAGCCTGGTGTTTCTCTTCAGAACTCCTGGTTGACAAAGCCCTTTGAGTACAGGTCCCAGCCTGGGGTAGGGGAGTTGGCACTACACAGCAGGAGTAGGGCAGAGTGCTCAGGGTAAACACCATATCTAGGAAGGTGGGAGCTGTGACCAGAGGAGGCATCTGCACTGGCTCTGGGTGGCAGATGGCATGAGGGATACCTCCAAAGCACCCCCCAAAAGAATCATCCACCTCCCAGGCCCCTGGGCTTCTCCTGAAGTTGACCTGGGAGGGAATTCCTGAGAGATTGAAGCTCTGGGCCAAAGTACCCAGCCCAGTGCAGGTGGCTCCCTCTCTGTACAGTCTTTGTCCCTCTGCCTTCCCCTCCTCAGTTCTCAGAGGAACTGAAAACTAAAGACAGATCAGGATTAAAGTGTCCCATAAAACTTTCACCTTTAAAGCAATATGTCATTGGCATAAGACCAGAGAAATAAATGAAAGTCAAGTTCAGAAAGAAATTGAATGCATTAAAAGATACAGTGCATGTGATCGAAGTGGTATCACAGATTAGAGGGGAGAGGACCGTCTGCTCAGCAGAGACAGCTGGGAACATTGTGAAGCCATCTAAAATGAGCTCAGTAAGATCACACCAGGCCCCAAAATAACTCCCAAAAGATAAAAAAGAAAATTTTAAATGTCAAAAAAGCTACAACATATAATTACTAAGTGATATCACAGAGAAACTTCTTATCGTCTTGGAGTGGGAAGGACCCTCCCAAGTCTGACATAAAAACCCAAGGGTCATAAAAGGGATAACAGATTCAAGTACTTCAGAATGAAAAAGAAAATCTCCATGACACAAACACAATAAGCAAAGTCAAAAGATGAATGGCAAACTAGGCAAAATTATCTGCAGTTCATCAATCAAAGGGCCAATTTCCCAAATCTACAAAGAGCTCCAGCAAATTAATAAGCAGATCCCACAGCAAAAGGACAGAAGATACAAAGAGAAAACTCCAGTGACAAGTCAGGGAAATGCAAGCTGAAAGTACTTCAAGGAACCATTCACCCATCAGATGGGCAAAGGCCAAGAAATCAGCTCATGACTACAAACAAGGGGTTCTCATGGATTGACCATGCACTGCTGAGGGAGTATGGATTGGTGTCACGTGGCAAAGAGGGAATTTGGCAAGATCAAGATTATGAAAGTACATATTCTTGCTGAGTGTCGTGTCACGTGTCTCTAATCTTTACATTCAGGAGCCTGAAGAGGACAAGGTTTGAGACCAGCCTGGGCTACCAAGCATGATCCTGTCTCAAAAATAGAAAAAACAAAACAAAACAAAGGGGCTTCAAGCAGTTTGTTAAGGGGATGGCAAGGGTGTGGTGGGCTATATGTGTTTAAAGAAAAAGGGGGCCAACAAAATGGCTCAACCAGTAAAAGGGGCCTGCCACCAAGCCTGATGACCTGAATTCAATCCCCAGAACTCACCTGGTGTGAGAAGAAATGTGACTCCCACAAGTTGCCTTTTGACCTCTACATGTGTGCTGTGGCCCACTCATGAGTGCATACACACACACACACACACACACACACAAACACACACTAAATAAATAAATGCAATTAAAAGAAAAAGGGAATGTATTTGAATGCCTAACATCTCTGTAAGACAGTAGGGAGATTTTCATTGAGTGCTTTTTTGTGTGTCTGAATTTTGAGTCATGTCAAAGGGATTAATAGAAAGCAATCAAACAAAAGGAATAAAAGTTCCTCAGGCTCTTTGAATCCAACAACAGAATCTTGGAAAAAAATATGTATGTAGAATTTTCCAGTTCCTGCTGGAATATCCTGAGCCTGAGAAGCCGGTCCATCCTGGCACCAGATTCAGCATGGACCAGCTCTGCCTGGCAGGCCCTTCTGCCTGCTGAGACCTCACAGGATGGTGTGGAGGGAAGGGGAAGGGACACCTGGCCCCTCAGAGCAGGGGGCAGCTTAGATGAGGGGCTCTGACTCCCCGCATTGATCCGCCACCTCCTGCTGGCTCAGCAGATCTGTAGGCTTCTCTAACTAGGATCACTCACTGAGAGCCAGGCATGGCCCCAGGAGGTGACCACAGCATGTGTACCCCAGCCCCAGGTGCCAGTTGGTGCATTCTTTCAAGTGTCAGCTGTGTAGCTGAAAGAAGAAAGTGCTTCCCAAAGAGGGGCTGTGGAAGTCCAGAGAAGTCCTCAGGATAGAGTGACCAGCCAGGGCTGCTTGCTGCTCTCTTTATCCCTGTAAAGCTTCAGTCACCTGAGCCTGGCTCCCAAGGTGCATGCTCTGCATTTAATGGACCTCAATAACCAACCCCCACCCAGTGCTCATAGGCACCTCCCACTTCACACACCAACTCCAGCTCATCTGTCTGTCTCTCACTCTTCCTCTTTCTTGTCCCCCTGCTAAACTAGAAGTGAGTCCTTTTCCTTGAAGTAACTCTGGACCCATCTCACGGGCTCAAGTTTGTTTCCGGGTATTTTTGTCCCTTCCTAAATGGTGCGCCCACTCCTACAAGGCTCTGGAAAGAGATGGCTCAGACCTCCCTCCATGGCCAGAAGCTTTTGAGAGGGGGCAGCTCTGTCTTTGGTCACGACTGTTCCAGTTTTATGCCCCTGGTTTGAGCAAGGACCCTGCTCAGCTGAGGCCCTGGGTCCAGCATGGAATGGAACATTGGGGACAGGGAGGCAGTTCACATCAGTGTAGTCTCCAGGGAGCCCCAGATGGGTGGGTTGGGGTCAGGAGCCCTATGGAAATTGACAACATGAATGCTTTGAAATGCAGTGGGGAGGCAGGAGAAACCACTGGGGCAGTAGAGGGGTTCCTCCCTGGAGACAAGCTACATAGGAAAGTGTCGGGAGCCGCTAATCATTCAGCTGTGTCAGGCTTGTTTACTGAGTGTGTATTATGCACGCCAGTATCTAATCTGCCTTATTAGGAGGAATATGTTTATATGGAGAGCCTCACAACACCTACAATAGTGGAAGCCTTTGATCTGACCGCTCCCTGACCCTCAGATACAGGTGGGGAAAAACAGCAGTTGTAACTAATTGAGTTCTTCTGTATAAAAAGACAGTACCGAAATAAATCGAGGCTGCAGTATTGACTGTGAGCCCTCCCAAGCATCTTTTCTGTCTCCTTTCCTTTCTTTCAATCCTCACTCCCCGTTTCAGGTACTGTCCGTTTTGGCCGGCTGGCATCGGCAGGCACAAGGAAAACAGTCACAGCGACCAAGTGGCAACATCACTCTGTGGAGCCCAGAGCTGCAAGGAGTTCGAGATCCCATCTCCTTTGGGACACAGTGATACGGCGATACGCAAGTTTATGGAAGCCAGAATGAGCAGGTAGAGACATCAGACGGGCTTTGCAAAGCCTGCTTTTGTTCTCCTGTGATCTACAAGGAAGGCCAAATGATTTACAGCGACTGGGTCACTTACAAGAATTGGGGGTAGGGGAGAATTCAGCTCAGGGTTACTTCCTTAAGATGCGGTTTCCAAAATGGAGTCTCTCTGGCCAGCACACACGTGTGTGTGGGCATGTCTAAGATATAACCAAATTCCTCTCTCACGGGGCTGTGTGTCCTGGACATGTGGAACTGGGCATACAGTGTGGCATGGTAGACTAGTGAGCTGAAGATGCAGCCCTGACTTAGACTTCAAAGACCCAAGCTAAGGCCAGCCATTGAGGGCACAGTGGACAGAGTGGAACGGGGGGGG